GAAACACACTCCTTTCTGAGCCTCAGTTTCCTCTCCTGGAGGTGGGCAGTGCCACCCACTTTCCAGGATGGCAGGAAGAAGGAGGTGGTGCCGGCTGGAGAGAGGGGTTCTAGGAAGCATGGCCCCCTCTTAGCGGAGCTGTGGAAACTGTGGTGGGAACAGAGCTGGGGAGAACGCTTCTCTCACAGCGCCTGTGTCCAGGAAGCATGAGGCATGGAGAGGAAGCTGATCCAGGTGTGTTTGGACCACACGCAGGGCAGGGGCTGGGTGTCCCCTTCATCTCTGCATCCCTGGGCTTAGCAGTGATAAATGGGTGGATAGAAAATGAATGGATGACAGATGATGAATGGATGATGGGGGAGGAAGAAAGATGGATAGATGTTGGATGGATGGATGGATGGATGGATGGATGGATGGATAGATGGTAGACAGACGCACAGGCTAGGATTTCCAGACTCACAGGAGCAAGAGGGATGGATATGAGACTAGGGCTGGGGGCCAGGCCAGGTCATCCTGGCAGGGTGAGGCGATGCCTCCCATTGTAGCTGAGGCAGTGCCACCTCTGGAAGGAGACGCCCCAGAATCCTGTATGAGGAGGTTGGTGTGCTCCATCACAATAGGAACCCACATTCCTTATTCAGGGCCTCATCTGCCTTCTGCTGGGTGGAAGTGAGCACCCCTCAGACCACAACCCCTGTCTCAGGATGTCCTGTCCACACAGATGGCCGCGGCCCCAGGCCAGGAGCCAATGGAGTCCAGGGGACCACTCCTCAGTCTTGTATGGTTGGGCTCGGAGGAGCTGTGGATGGAACCATTAACCAAGTCTCAGCCACCCCACGCTCAGGGTTCCAGGCTCTGGCCAAGGCAGCGCATCCTGCTTTGTTGTCCCCTGCACCCCCAGAGCTGCATCCTGGGCTGTGCGGGGGCTCAGGCAGCAAGCAGCACTGCACAGCAAACCCTAGACAGTTCTGTGGCCGCCAAGCACCAGACCCAGCTCTCACACCCAGTGGACCACCCTGGCACCCATGTCTCGGGTCCACCTATGAGGGAACCAGATAGGTGAGGATCCATGGCCCAGAGCTACCAGGCCCAAAAGTCAGAACCCAGAGCCACGGGCAAAGCCTTTCCAGCCATGTCCCCAGTGCCCCACAGGGGCTGGTTCTGGTCTTGGAGCTGGGCTATGGTTTCCTGTCTCCAGTTTGTCAGTCTCCTCCAAGAGTGCTCCTGGCTGTGTCTGTGTGGGGCGGGGATGGTGCACACTTTCCTCCTGCCAGCCGGGCACCTTGGGAGCACCCAGAGGCATTGCCATCCTACTGTGCTACAGCCATCCTGGCTGTCGTCTTGTCTGTCCCCTGCTGAGGCAGATGGAGTGGCAGCTGGGTTGGGGTCGAGATACCTTGACCAAGAGCTGCACGGCCACTCTGAAGGAAGCCATGGCCCTCAAGCCACACAGAGCTGGAGTCCATGGTTAAGGCCCAGCCGACACTAGCATCTTAAAGTGCAGGCCCTGGGTCTCCAAAGACCACATCCATCTTCAGAACTTTGAAAGGCAACAGTTAGAAAGTTTTCAAAGGAAAGTACAGAAAGAAACCAGCAGGAGCAAAACTTAATTCATAGCCAAGAGCTGTCATGGTGAGTCACACCCATCTTCACCAAGGGCTATCAGGGAGGCCCACCTGCCTCTGCCACCCAGCGGGACACAACCTTAGGTGAGGACTTGAACCTGAGCATGGCGGTGTCCAGCAGGAGCAGGCTGGGAGCCCTGCTAGGCCCTGCAGGTGGCACCTAGGGACAGTACTGACCACCGTGGGACCAGGGCCAGGGCCAGGGCCAGGAGCCACCTGGGCCACATACAGCCATCAGCCCACCAGAGTGGCAAAGTGGCGTCAGAATGCACGGATGTTTAAACCTTAACTTTTCTCCGCTCATTTTCCTACGTGATCAATCCTAATAAAGACGACAGAAGCAGGAGAAATGAACTCGGTAAAAACACATCTTTGTTTTTGAGCCAGTGTTTGAAATTTTATGAAGAGCAGAACAACACTTGAAGAAAAGCCTCCTGACACAGAGATTTAGACCTTGTTTTCTAGCAATGGATTAAAATGCAAAGTTTAGAAAAATATTTTAAAATGAGTTTTCTAAAAATGAGAGCCGGCTTCGCCCCTCTCCCCGCTGCTGCCACCTCCACTACTGGGGCCTTTGGGCCACTGCCAGCTGTCTCTTTCCATTTCAGTATAAAAACACAAAATCCTTTCTTTTTTTTTCTTTTTTTCTTGTTCTTTTTGGTACCAAGGATCGAATTCATGACCTCGAGCTTGCCAGGCAGGCACTTAGGCACCCCAGCCCACAAAATTCTTTCTTATCCAGACAATTCTCTTTTGCTTCTAAATTTTCTCATCAAAAACGTATCTTCAGCCCCATGATTCCCTCGGCGGCTCCTTTCCCTCCTGCTGATCGGGTTATGTTTCACTTTGTCTCTTTCCTTAAGTTTATGTTTTGAAACAGTTCTTTAAAAATTCCTAAATTTAGATAAAATTGCTCTTTTTCTACAAAAAAAACCCCCATGATAATAAAACAAAAATGCTTTATCCTTTTCTTACTGTTTTCTGAATAATACACATAGCTTAATTTCTTTATTTTATATTTATTTATTTTAAAACGAAAAAAGAATAAAAACAGTGTTACCATTTTCTTTATGCTCTTAGTATTCAGAATTACACATAATTAGAATTTTAATTTTTAATAAATTTATTTTGTAGTTAAACCCGAGGAAGATAAAAATCTTGAATTATTCTTTATATGCCAATGATTATGAAAATGCATTTTTCAAAATTTATTTTTTTATGAAAATGTATTTAATGGACCCAAATAGTGTGTCTTTTTTAGAGAATTTAAGAAAGCAGGGGTACTTGGATTTATGTTTATCATTCGAGGTTTTAATATTTGAACTAACATACAATATGTAATGACACATATTTTAACACATTTATCCCATTTATATTTACCCAGTTTATTTATTTTAACAGTTATTGCTCTATTACTTATGAAAACTAAGATATCAGACAAGCATAATTTTTTTTCTTGTGGTCCAGGGGTTTGAACCCAGAGCCTTCACAGTGAGCTCCATCTCCAGCCCTTTGTAATTTTTATTTTGAGACAGAATCTCATTAAGTTGCTAAGTTGCCCAGGCTGAGCTCAGACTAGTGATCCTCCTGCCTCAGCTTCCCAGAGTTCTGGGATTACAGGCCTACACCACCGTGCTTGGCTATAATCATTTTACATTATTTTCTCGTCAGACACCAGTGTCAAATCGCCACCCTTTACACACAGAACATGAGGAACATTACATCTTAAATGCTAAGAGAGATAAATACAGCCTTGACTGACTGGAGTCCCAGGCAGAATATGCAAGCTGCAAAGACGTCTTTCCCTCCCCACTAACACATCTAAATGAACTCCTGGCCAACATTTACTGAGCCCATGTGAACTAAAACTCACCTGGTGAAATTTAACTTTTAATTCACATGAGAGCTGCACTATCCACAGCAAATCTGAAAGGGTTCTCTCAGGGGATTCTGTCCCCAGGCAAGCACGGAGCCCAGAATATGTCCCTGTCAGGCTCAGGGAGGTGGCCCAGGCCTGGGGGGCCAGCAGCACCTCCCCACAGACAGGGTAGGTGGGGGGTGTTGGCAGCAGGCCCTTGATGGGGTCATCGGTATGAGCAGGAGGCCTTGGGTTCTCAGGGTCATGGGTTGGGGGGACGTAGACTGACCTGGAGATGAGACTTCCCTGCAGCGCTCACCAACGTCAACCTCTCCCAGTTTGGGAAACCCAACCCCTCATGGTTCAGACCTGGACCCTCACCTGCCAGCCTCCCACGGCACTTCCTCATGAGGAAAACTTTCCCCAGAAGGAAAAGGGCCCAGGAGCTGGGAAACACAACTGGGTCCTGTGCCAGCACCGCCGACCCCAGGCCATGGGTGTGCCTGGGGCGATCTGCAGCTGTCCCGTGAGGGAGCTGCATAGGGCATGGTGCACACCCTCGGCCTTTGAAGCCCAGGCCGGATGAAGGCAGCCTAAAGAAGAGGAAGCCAAGAAAGTAAAGATAAAAGCAGGGTTCGGGGAGAGAGATGGGGATGGGGACCCTGAGGACCACAGGCACTGGGGACATGCTGGCTGCCGAGACACTAGACAAAGACCCAGGTGGCCACACAGCCCCCACAGTCCTGAGTCCAGCAGGGCCCGGCTCATGCCGTCCTGGTGGCATCCCCTAAAGCATCTTACCACAGAAAAGACAGCAAGTGCCACTAACCGTCAAGGACACGCAGGCCGCTCCACGGGGACCTCGGCCTGGGCCGCCTGGCTCCAGCATGAGCCACAGGGGATCAGCTCCGAGCAAGGGGACCAGGCTGCTTCTGGAGCACAGGGAGAAGCAGCTTCTACTGATCTGCTGGGGGGGGGGGGGGGCAGAGGTTAGAGCCTGGCATTTTCCCTGGGCCACAGGCACGGGGTTGAAAGTTGGTTTCATTCCTGGGCAAGGCACGAGCCAATCAGATAGCCGTCTGCACCAGACTTGCTAGGCACTCACAGTGGCCCATGACCCTGCATGAAGGCCCTGGGCCTGGGCCTCTGAGTGTAGCTGGAGGACCAAGACTCCACTGTTGCCAGAGTGCACGAGACAGAGACTGGGACAACATGGTTATACCCGTGGCTGGGGCAACCACAGAGGGCACAGGTACATATGGGGCAGAGCACCACTCTCCTGTGCCCCAAACCCCACGGGCGCCAAGAAGACCCAGCCCTCTGGGCCGTGAGGCCTTCAGGTGCCCGGAGGAGGCAGCACTGAGCGTGGGACCCACATATGTGTGATCTTTGCATCACCGTGGCTATGCAGTGAGGGCTCCTTAGCTCTGTCCTCTGTGGCACCTCTGCCAGGAGGAAGTTGACAGTTTCACTTCAAACGCAGTGACGCAGACCCCACACTGCCTGCACCATGACCCCGCCCTCTTCCTCCCGAGCAGACAAGACAAGGCAGAAACTTCACCCACAGGTGCTGAGTTCCCCAGGCTGGGCAGGAGCAGGCCGCATCCATGGGGTCCCTGTCACTGGCCGTCGAGTGCCTGCTGGCAATGCTGGGTGAGTAGCTGTTTGTCCAATGGGCACAGCACTGAGGTTATGCCTGTCCTGGTCTGGCTTCGGAGCATCACACAGGCTCAGAGCCACGGGATGTCCGTGTTGCCCGCCCCACACCCCAAGTCCTGGTGGCCCCATTCTAACAGCCTCTGCTTCTCTCCGAGCTGTCCAGGGCTCTGAGTCCAGCTGTCTGCGCCGTAGCATGTTGCTAGGTGCCCAGCAGTACCTGGCCACCTCCAGGGGCAGGGACGTGGACAATGACCATCTCTTGTGCCCTGGGCAGAGCAAGCAGAGAGCACAGGGCTGGGGCTTCCCAGGGCACAGTGCGCAGGTGCAGGGCGGGCAGAGCTCCTAGTCCCTGCGCACACAGCCCAGGGCAGCAGGTGCCGAGCCTGGGTTCTAGGCCCAGTGCGCATGGCTGCTCCACCCATGGCCATCGGAGGGGTGCGATAGAGATGTGACTGTGGCCAGAGGCGTGGGAGGCATGGTAGGTGAGGACCAAGTCCAGGTGTGACCAGGAGGAAGTGCCCGGGCCCTCGCTGTGCGCCGACTGTACCATACGCAACCTGCTGGGGAGTGTGGATGCATGAGTATGTGCGTACACGTGCATGCGCATGTGTGTACATCTGTGTGGAGGCTCTGCACACTCAGGGCCTGCACACGGCTTTCTCTTGTATATGCTGCACAGCTGGTGTGCACATGCACGCCCATGGCTGTGTATTCCACAGCAGGAGGAGAGGCCATGCTGCTCCTGCCTTGCTGCTCCTGGGACACCAGGGATGCAGTTCTCAGGTTTCACCTCCCCTGGCTACACTCCCAGCAGCGTCCTGTCCTAGGTGACTTCCTGCAGGATCTGTGAGTCTCTTGGCCTGGCAGGAGTCAGTGAGCAACCCTGGGGAACATTCGAAGTGTGCAGCTCTAGGCACAGATATTTGTGCAAATGTGTATGTCGGGGGAATGAGCACCCCTTTCATGTGGGGGTCACAGCCCTGAAATACTTGCAAAGTCATTGCCTTCCACAAGCTTCACGCCATCTAGGAAGTAGCTGAGGCCCTGCAGCCTCCCACCCGGCATCACAAGAAGGTGTCACAGCCTCCATGGGTGCTGACAGTGCCATCCTCCTTAGCCTTAACGGCTCAGGCCATGGCAAGCCAGCCATGCTCAGCCACTGGACCTCACCTGCCAGCTGGGTGACCTGAGAGCTCCACGAACCCCGGGTGAATTAGGTCTGTTGAGCCATAGTATTGTGCCGGGTGTACCGAGTATCAAGTGCTCAATGAACAGCGAAGACAGCAAGTTATAACCAGGGCAGTGAGGCTCAAGGAGCCCAGACAGGGCAAGGAGTCCGGCCAGTGCACTGTCTCAGGCTCTCGTCCCCAGGCTATTCCCTTGCACGGCTCTGCATCCCCCGCATGTATTCATCTCCTGTCTGCCCTGAGCATGTGAAACAGCATCCTTGCCTGCTTGCAGAGGAGGCCTGGCCTGGAGGCCCAGAAATAAGCCCCAAGTTCCTTACCCACTTGTGGACACTGAGCTGTGTGGTGCAGGAAGTCATGGGTGGCCTTGGCTGGAGGGTGGCCAGGGTACATGGGACACCTTCAGGAGATGTCCGCAGGAGGTGACATCCCCTCTGAGGCCTGAGGAATGGGAAGAAGCAGCCAGGCAGAGAAAGATGAATGAAGGTCCATGGCAGAGAGGATGAGCAGGGCAGAGGCCAGGGTGTCCACCGAGCATACAGAGCGAGGCCACCCAGCCACAGCCGAGGCCGCAGAGCTGGGGCCTGCCAGGTGCTGAAGGGCCAGGGATCGGGGACACTATGGCTGCTCTTTGTAGGAAACTGAGGCTGCTGGGGCTGAGAGGCTGCAGTAGCCCTTGGGGATGCCCTATATGGCTTCGCCAGTTAGAGAATACCTTGGAGACCAAGGAGAGGGTTCAGCTCCATCAGACAGAATCGAGTATCTCCTGTGCTCATGTGTGTGCACGTGTATGTGCACATGTGTGTGCTCAGCCCCATGGAGAGGCTCTGGGATTGGCAGGTCTAGTTTGGCTCCTGCTTGGCCACCCGAAAGGACAAGTACCCCAGGGGTCTTGGCCCTCTCATCAGTGCTGCACTCACCCAGAAGGGCCGAGGAATGACTCATGCTGGGAACTCGGGAAGGATCCTGGCCGGGGACCTATGTAGCAGTTGAGTGCCGTGGGGACACAGCCCAGGGCAGAGCCAGTGGGAGCTGGGGGAAGCCAGAAGGCGGCGGGTGGTGAGCAGGTAATGGAGTCCTCCAAGGGGTCTCCAAGAAGAGACCTGGGCTCCTCCTCAGAGCTGTCAGAACAGCGTCCCCTCCTCTCTCTCCATGGCACTGTCTCGGCCCAACAGGCTGCCCTGGGGAGGCCAGAGGTCTCAACTTCTGAGGGCAGCTGTGTCCTAGCCCTGCGTCCCCCCACCCCACCCTACAGCAGGGGTCCCCTTCCCACCCTCGCTCAATTCTGCGAACATAGCGGGCTCCATGGTGCCCTGCCAGGCAGCAAGCAGAGGGACTCAGCTTCCGCATCTGAAAATGGGCAAAAGGAACCTGGGTTCACCAGGCTGTGGGTGCGAGGCTGGAGATATGCAGCACCGTGAACAAGGGGTACTGTGCGGGATATGCAGCCCAGGTGACTCCCACAGATCCGGAGAGGTGCCCAAGGCCATGTCCACGAGGAGAGCAACAACTCCCATAGGAGCATCTGCCACCTGGGACCCCATCCCCTCCCCATACGCATGGGCTGTGGGCACCAGTGATAGTCCCAGGGCTCAGGGACGCAGGTCTCCAGTCAAGCACTCTGGCCCATAGCAGCCTTGGCTATAGGGAGAGCCTGTAACTCTCCGTAACTCGGGGCCCCAGCCAGGCCCACAGACAGCCAGCTGCAACCAACCCCGGAGCTGGGCCATGATCCTGAGGTCCAGCCCTGGAAGAGGCAGGGGCTGCAGAGTACCGGCTGCCTCTCCCATAGGGTGGACACAAAATGTGTCTTGCTAGGCAATGCTGTGTGCTTAAAGCCAGTGCTGCTCAAGTGCACAGAACAGAAAGGCTCCCTGAGATTCACCCATAGCCAGAGCACACATGTCCAAAAACTTCAGGATCTTGGGATTTAAAAAGCAAAACAAAATGAAGTCTTAAAAAAAAAAAAAAAAAAACTACTTCCAAAAATTTGTTTTTATTTATTTATTTATTGGTACCGGGTACCAAAACTCAGGACTTGGCACCGGCTAGGTAGGCACTTAGGCCACTGAGCTACAGCCTCAACCCCTCAGAAAACATTTAAGTGCAGTACACAGTGACTAAAACTCATCCACGGCAGGATGTGGCCCATGGGGTATCTCTGTCTGTCTCTCTGTCTCTGTCTGTCTGTCTGCCTGCCTTTGTCTCTCTGTCTCTCTCTGTCTATCTTTCTCTTTGCCTCTCTCTGCATCCCTGAGTTTTTCCCAGGCCTGCCTGTCCAAGCACCCCATGGGGGGGGGGGTGCTGGCGGATAGACTGGCAGGGCATGTCAGCCCCTCAGTGTGGTCTCATGCCCAGCCCCAGCCTTAGCTGCTGAGGACAGCATGGTTGGGGACAGCGAGGGTACAAATGCCGCTGGGTTCTCTCCCCACGTGGCCTCAAGGTTTCTGGGCAGAGCTATACCTTGGGCGGCATAGGCTGTACCCCCAGAGGAGTCAGGGGGACCCCAGCAATCTGCATGATCCCAGGGATCCCAGAGGCTACTCTATCACTGGCAAGAAGCGGCTAAAAAATGAGAATAGGCTGCAAAGGATCAAAACTCAAAAGTGGCCGAACAGGCCGGGAGAAGGCACTGGCAGCCCCGCGTCCCATCGGCTTTCGCTTCCCTTGAGCCTGGTGCAGGCCTGCACTGAGCTGAAGACCATGGGTCACAGATGGCTGGAGGAGGGGTTGGCCAGAGACCTACAGGGAACTTCACCACGGACTGGGGCCACACCCCAGGGGTCGAGAAAGCCTCCAGTGTCAGGCAGCAAGGACCGGGCCGAGTCCCTGCACGGTGGCTTCACACCAGATAGGGGCTCATCCCATCCAGGCGGGCAGCGAGGAGCAGCAGAGTATCCTAGACCTCCAGGCTGGCAGGCAGAGCTCAGCCGCTGGGCCACACAGGCCAGCTGCCAAATTCTTTAAACACTCTTGGCTTCCTCTTCCATAAAACAGGGCCAAAATAGTGGTTCCCGCCTCCTGGCACTGTGAGGGGCACTGAGAGAGTGAAGGAAAACAGTCCTGCAAGAGGAAAACACTCAGCTGGGCATGGTGGCTCACCCCTGTAATCCCAGCACTCGGGAGGCTGAGGTGGATCGTTGAGAGTTCAAGACCAGCCTGGGCTACAAAGTGAGCTCAAGGCCAGCCTGAACTGCATAGTGAGACCCCATCTCAAAAAAGAGAAAAACACTCGTGTTAATGGGGGTGGTGACAGCAGTGGTGATGGAGGTGGGGATAGAGACAGAAGTGGCGATAATGATAGACAGACATGGGGATGTGATGATGGAGAAGGCAGCGGTAAGGAGGATGGGACTGTGATGATAGAGATGGTGATGGTGGTAATGGAGGTGGAGGTAGAGGTGGTGGTGATGGGGAAGAAGATGGTGATGATGATGGAGATGATGATGGGGATGGGGATGGTGCAGATGGTGGTGATGGGGAAGGTACTGGGGAGGATGACGGAGATCGTGATGGAGGTAGAGGTGGTGATGATGGGGAAGAAGATGGTGATCATGATGGAGATGATGATGGGGATGGGGATGGTGCAGATGGTGGTGATGGGGAAGGTACTGGGGAGGATGATGGAGATGGTGGAGGTGGTGGTAGTGATGCGAGCAGGAGAAGAAAGGAAAGGCTGCTACTAAGGACCAAATGGCACCCTGAGGGCGGTGTGCCTGCCCCTGGGCAGAGGATGGCTCAGGGAGTGTGCCTGCCCCTCCTAGGAGCCACTTTCTGCTAAGGTCTTTGCCCTCTCCACCTCCCTGAGCATGTTCTCTGAGCAGGCCAGGGTGCTCCTTGAGGGGCTGCAGGCATGGTCAGCCCAGTTCCTGGCCCAGGGCCATCAGCCCCTCTGGCACCTCGGGTTGCAGCCCTCTCTGTGCCTCCATGCTTGGCACTGTGCAGGCCGCCCTTTAGTGGCAGAGGCAGAGGGTATATTTCCCAGTCAAACCTGTTATCTTGGCCCTCTGCTGACATGTACATCCTGGATGCACTTGCACATGGTGTGGACCAGGAGTCACAGCCTCTCACACAGCGTGGGGCGCACAGGGCAGACATGGCCTCTCTGCTCCCAATCTCCTCTCCACAACTGGGCACCCCTGCTTCCACAGAAGCCTGGTGGGCAGACTGGGAGGTGCAGTTGTCCCCTGCTAGCATTGCCTTGAGTCCTCACCCTACTTGTGAGAATATCGATCCTCTGCCCAGGTCCTGGACTGCTGGCCGACTGTGATAGGATCTCAGAGATGCAAGCACTTGTCACAGGGTCCTGAAGGCTGGGGCACAGCACGGGTGGGGAAGCATCACTTCCTGTAAAATTTCCACAGCAGCGTGAGCCCCTGCAAGAGCAGGCCTTTCTAACCCCCAGTGACAGTTTCTCCCCTGGAAGTGAAGCATAGCCGCTTCCTGTATAAAGTCAGCTCTCCTCACGATGGCAGCGCACTCTATAATCCCAGCACTCTGGGAGGAATGAGGTGACATGTACCCTGTGTAGTAACAGTCACTTGACTATACATGGAGGAGAAATCAATGTCACCATGTGATATTTTAAAAGGTAGATTTAGAGAGAAAAAGCGAGAGAGAATGCTGCAGTCCACCCTGCAGACCTCACTTGCTTGCCCAGGTGCCAAGCTGCAGGGCAAAACCCATGTCCAGAAGCCCAAGAGCTCCTGCTGAGCTGGGGATGGAGGTCAGCCCCACTCCCTGATTGTCCTTTGCCCTCTCTGCAGCTGCTTTCTGCGTGGGCTGGTCCAGCATGGAAGACACAGGTAAGGAAGAGCCTGTGAAGAAGGCCAGGGCAGGGCGGTGGTGGGGACGTAGCTCTGTCCTGCTGGAGGGGAACTTTGGGCCAAGAAGTTGTCACCTCTGCTGGGCAGCGCCCAGCCCACTCAGACACACAGAGGTGGACATCAGTGTTGAAGGGCACCACACAAGTGCCAAGTCTCGGGCCACCGTTGTTAGGGCATTTCATTTTATTTTTTGGGGGGCTGCTGAGCACAGGACTCATGCATGCTAAACACACCCCATACCCCTGAACAACACCTCAGCCCCTACCATTTTAGGCAAGGAACTTGAGCATCATGGATTTGGTACCTGAGGGAGGCCCTAACACCAGCCCCCCTGAATACCAAGGGCAACCATGGATCAGTTAACCCAAGGCCCTTTCTAAGATCATGAAGCCATAGGGCTGCTGTTGAGACTGCAGTGCCGCTCCTGGGTGCATGCTCAGGAGAAACAGACACACAATGTGCAGAGATCAGCTCGAAGTAGGCCAGCCCCTGACACAGCCCGCGCAGTGGCCCAAAGCTGAGTGGCAAAGCTGCAGCGCACACTGAATTCACAGCAACGGGGGCAGCCGAGGCCCTGGTCTGGGGATGCATCAGTCGCACAGACTGAGAAGCCAGGAGGAAGTCCCACTTCCGTAGCTCTGGAGAATGGCAAAACCAGCCTCTTGTGACAGAAGCAGCCAGGCAGCCCTCGAGGGCCAAGCCCAGGATGAATGGCTCCAGGACTTGCTGGTCACCAGGCACATTGTGACCTAGAGTCTGGTGGTGGCTTTGTGCTCACACATGTGTCAGATCCCATCCAGTGGTGCCTTTAATGGGTGCATTTCACAGTTTCAAAGGTTAAAACAAAGAGTCCAGGCTATTCTGGGACCCTAAAGGGGGGTCTGCAGGATGGGCCATCGTGCCAGGTAGCAGATACCCAGGGCCCTCGTCCAGGCCCAAGCTCCCCTCCAGCTCTGCCCGAGTTTCTGGGCTGTCCTTGCTGTGATCAGCAGGGATGGAGCTCTCGGGGGCACTGAGCACTCCCAACGTGCTGGGTAGCAGGGCTCTGCAGAGTACAAGGGGCACTTCTGCTCCTACCTGTTCCTGACTGCTCTCCCCTCCGCCATCCCCAGGCTTCCAGGTGCGGCTCCAGGGCTCCAGCTCACCATGCCAGGGCCGGCTGCAGGTCTACAAGCAGGGATCCTGGAGCACAGTATGCGCACAGAGCTGGGGCCTGCGCAGAGGCTCCCTCCAGGACTTGGCCCAGGTCTCCCAACTCTGCCAGCAGCTGCGCTGTGGGGAGGTCTGCAGATTTGGTGTGATCTCTACCTTCAGTGCACCCCAGTCCTGGCTGCCTCAGATCACCTGCTTCGGAGCCCCAGTCTCCTTCTTCAACTGCAGCAGCAATGCAGCAGGCTGGTGCCAACCACTCAGCCTGATCTGCTTAGGTGGGTTGTGGGCACCTGTGGGGTGGGGGATCAGGGTCCGTTCTCCCACCCCTGAACACATCCATGGGCCAGGGCGCTGGCAGCCACCTGGTGGGACAGACATAGGAGCCAGATATGCAGGCTGCTGTCTTCTCTGCCCCAGAGCCTCTGTCCCGCCTCTGTCTTGGGGGCCACTGTTCGAGGCAGCATGGGGTTCAGACAGGCTTATGTGGAAAGTGGTGCGTCCCCAGTGTCCTCACCCCTGCTGCCTCATTCCTTCCCACTGCAGAGCCCCAGAAGACGACACCGCCACCCACAAGCCCCCCACCCCCCACCACACCAGCGCCCACAGGTGAGAAGGTGCCCCATGGGTGGGGGCTTCACCCACAGTGTCTCCTTCATCGTGGGGTGGGCAGCCCCACTCAGCCTAGCCCCACTCCCACCCCATTCCAGCTCCGCCCAGGCTGTGGTTGGCAGCTGGGCCCAGGGGCCTGCAGTGTGCGGGCACTGTCGAGTTCTACAGTGGCCACCTGGGCGGTGTCATCGGCTACCCAGCCCCAGATGACAAGGATGACATGCTCTGGGGCCTGGGCACCCTCATCTGCAGGAGCCTGGGCTGTGGCTCCTTCCTGAGGAGGTTGCCAGGGCCTGAAGTCCCAAGGCCCATCGGGTGGACGGTGCAGAATGCGAGTTGCACAGCCCTGCCGCAGTGCTTCCGGCAGGCGCATCGTGGGGAGGCCGGCCTGGCCCTGGCGCTCGTCTGCTCCGGTGAGTGGGGTCAGGGAGGAAGGGTAGCAGCAGAGACCCCATGGCATGGAAGGCAAAGGGGACAGCTTGCAGGCATGGCTGGAGCCGAATGCAGCATGCAATTGCTCCGCGCAAGGCCACGGGGTGACCCAGGCCCCCCAGAGCACCAGCTGACAAAACAACCCTGTGCCCTGAACCAGGCAGGGAGCCTTCACGGCCTACAGATCATCCCAGGATCAGTGGACACTGCTGAGGGGACCACCGGGAAAGCAGGGTGGACAAGGCAGGGTGGTGGGCATCAGTGGATCCCCTACTCGGGGGCTGTGGGGTCCAGACTCCACTCAATGGCTTCCCAGGCCCGGGCTCTGCTATCACCGTCCCACATCCCAGAGGGGAAGTGGGGAGCCAAGAGGATCAGCACCTGCTGCCATCCCTGTATGGATCTGGAGCCTGTCACCCTGCCCACCCTCAGCTCTGGTACCTCAGGGGTTAGAAATGTGGCCCACCACATCCTCCCGCTCCCCAAATCCGAGTCCATTTCTGTGAGAGTGCTTTGTGTGAGAACCAAGGAAGCCTGGCTCTGCTGAGCTAGAGCCTACACTGGCCTCTTGTTCTATGGAAAAGACTCGCTGGGGTGTTGGTGGTATTATTGCCACGGAAACTGGCCAAATCTGGTGATCACAGCTGCTCTGAACCCAGTGCAGCGAGAAGTCCTGGCCCCATCTCGGGGATCCTGCTGGACCGGCCACACACTGTTGCCTGGCCCTCGGGCACAGGGCATGGGGAGCAGCATCCTGGGGTCTCTCACCTGTGAAGTGGTAGGGCTTGGAGCAGTCTGCCTCAGTTTCCCCTCTGAGAAGCCTGCCTCTTCCTATGGTGCAGCAGGAGATGGATGCTGCTGCTACCCCAGCTCTTCTCCACCTAGCATGGAGCAAATGCTTCCCGATGTCACCATTGGGCATTGCCCCCGGTGGCTTCCTGCCCACCAGTACCAGCTGCCAGTCTCAGGCTGCTGAAGGCCTGGACAAAGCTGAGTGAGGCACGCTGGGGTGGGGGCTGCCAAGGAGGGAAGCTGCAGGGAGGCACCTCCCCAAGCCAGTGCCCTCAGCTGCAGGCCACAGGGCACTCACCTCCTGCTGCTTCCCCAGGTTTCCAGCCCAAGGTGCAAAGCCGCCTGGTGGGGGGTGGCAGCACATGCCAGGGCACTGTGGAGGTGCGCCAGGGTGGCCCGGAGGCACAGTGGGTAGCCCTGTGCCACAGCACCCGGAGCTCAGCACGGTGGGAAGCGCTATGCCAGGAGCAGCAGTGTGGCAGGTTCCTCACCTACCATGAGCTCGATGCCGTCGTGGGCACCCGCGGACTCCTCTGCCCTGAGAAGCTGCTGTCCGAGTGCCATGTGCTTGAGGAGAGGAGGTCCTGCCGGAGGGCGTACATCACCTGTGAGTGCCAGGGCTGGGGCCAGGAATGGGGTGCCTGGGAAGGACAGTGAGGGGTGGGGACAGCTGCTGCCCAGGAGCGGGGGGCGGGGGGTGCACCGATGACAGCAGCGGAGGCGGGTGAGGGACAGGTGGCCAACTCTGAACCTCAGGGGCCAGGGGCAGCCTCCTCCCCCAGCTGGGCTGACCCCAGCCCTCCCCACCAGGCCAGGATCCCCACCCCCCAGGCCTGGCTGCGGGCACTGTGGGGAGCATTGTGCTGGCCCTGCTGCTCTTGGTTGTGCTGCTGGTGCTGTGTGGTCCCCTGGCCTACAGGAAGCTGATGAAGAGAGGTGGGTGCGGGTTCCTGGGGTGACAGGAAGTCGGAAGGGTCATGCTTTCTAACTTGTCTGCACTCAGGGAGGCTGAGGAGTCCTGAGCTGGGTGGGCAATGAGGGCATGCGTGACCTTGTGTGACCCCACACCTCCAGCACAGCCACAGGCCCGAGACACTGCTGGGCCACCTGTCTTTGGGCTCAGTTTCCCCATGTACCAGAGTGCAGCTGTACTCTGGGGGTGCAGAGGATGCTCAAAGACAGGAAATAGCCTTCGGGATGCTGGACATGGACCTGCCAGGTCCTCCTCCTGGGCCTGCACCCCTCGGCCTTTCCTTGGAAATGGCGCCGTCCTGCACCCCCACCCACCAGCTGGAAGCTGGGCCCAAGCATCTTCCTGGGGTCCTGCAGCACCCCTCACTGCCTCCGTCTCTCTGACTCAGTCCGCCAGAAGAAGCAGCGGCAGTGGATCGGCCCAACGGGGATGAACAGTAAGTGCCTAGCCACAGACAGCACCTCCGTGGTGTCACTGTGGCCACAGATGACCCAAACCGGGGCTTAGGTTTCCCCATGGGACAGAGGCCATGAGCTTTCTGCCTGACTCAAACGCCACGGCATCCCCTCAGTGGTAACTCGACCAGGAGTCCCCAGGCCTGCCCTCCCTCAGGCGTCCCCAGCACTATGCCTGACACTCCCAAAAGGGACCCCCCCCCCAACTTCAGGGCCAGGCAAAGTTCAGCACAGTCTCTTGCCTGGACTTCGGACCCCACAGGACCTGAGGAGGCCAGGAGGGCTGCCACAGGGTAGCATCACCTTCTACCTCTTACCTCTGCTTTGCACCTTGCCCTTCCCCAGCCCTTACAGGCCCCACTAGTTTCAGTCACCCAAAGGCATCAGCCTCCTTCCCTGGAGCGGAGTGATCTCCCCACTGCTCCCTGTGGACTCCCTGCATGGGGTCTGACCAAGCCCCTGGGCTTGCGGGCCACCTGCTCTTGCTCATGTGGGGTCATCCTGCCTCACCAGAGAGGGAAGGGGAACAGGAAATGAAATTCCTGGGTGCCGGGAGAGGGCAGCAGGTGACTGAACTCTCCCCTGCACGTGTGCAGTGTCTTTCCACCGCAACCACACTGCCACCGTGCGGTCCCAAGCTGAGAACCGCCCAGCATCACACGTGGACAATGAGTACAGCCAGCCGCCCCGGAGCTCCCACCTGTCTGCTTACCCAGGTGAGCAGAAGACCAGGTCCATGCCACTGTCCTTGGCACTCTACTGGGAAGGAGGAGGCTGGGGGAAGCTGCTGCCCCCCTGCCCAATGAGTGGCAGGTCCTTCGCAGGCCCAAAGCCCAAATCACTCACCAAAGAACCCCACTCTTGGCCAATGCCAGGACCCCAACCCAGGTCTATTTGGCCTGCTTCCCATAGGATCCAGGCGGCCAGAGGGTAAACAAGGGCCTCTGGGCCAAAGCAGGGCTGTCAGTGGCCTGCAGGAGCCCTTCCAGGGCCCCTCACTGGCACTGAGGGTGAAACCCCAGAGCACAGAGCTGAGCCTCCTTAGCTCTGTGGCGGACTGATCACTGGCTTGCAAAGCCTGTGGTCTGCTGGTCTCTAGGCCCAGCTCTGTGGGCTCTGCCGGCTCTGCCAACTTTCCCCTCCCCCCAGCTCTGGAAGGGGCCCTACGCCTCTCTGCTGCCCAGCCTGACAACTCCTCAGACAGCGACTACGACCTGCACACCGCACAGAGGCTCTGAGGTGAGCCTGTCCCCAGCCCTGTGCCTGCCAGGCCCTGCTGCCCCATGTGGCCCCTGTGGGGAGAGGAGGAGAAGAAGCTGGTGCTTTTGGTTCCAAGCTTCGGAGCCATCAGTCTCAAAGCTCCTGCAAGCTGCTTGGAGGGACCCCACGGCACAGGCTACGGCTCTGGTGGTGCCCATGCCTAGTACACAGGAGGCCCTGGGTTCATCACCACCAGCATCAGGAGCAGCAGCAGAGGATGCCCTGTGGGCAGTGTGGCAGTCACACTCGTGTGGCTAGACAGCAGAGGGGCAGATCCCAGGTCACTGTGTGAGAGCAGAGATGGGAAGTGTCCAGGGCTCTGCTAGGAAGAGGGATGGGGTGTTTCTGCCAGGGAATTTCAACAGAAATGAGCAAAAGGAGCAGGGTGATAAAAGCCTTAGGAGAAAGCTAGAGCTCAGCCCCGCTGGGACTTGCATGGCCCTAGCGAGGGAGGAGGGCAATGACCGCTTCCATCTGCTGGCACAATTCAAACACAAGCTCCTGCCTGGATAACCTTACTAGCAGGTGCTGATGGGCGTCAGGTGCAGAACTACAAGAGCGAGTGTGTGGAAGCCACCCTGAGAGTGAAGTCTGCTGTGGGCCTCGTTTACAGAGCCTGCCAACGCGCCCCAGCCCCCAGCATGCAAGCAACATACCATGCAGGACACTGGACAGACCTGTGTGGCCTTGCAGAGAAAAGCCCTGACCCTGGGCCTGCAGCCATCCCAAGTCCCAGCCACCCCGAACTGGGCACCAGGATCAGGGAACTGCGAGCCAGACCTGCGGCCGCTATCCAGATGTGACATCTTCACCTCCACCCTGCCCGCCAGGACAAGGCAAGGACCCCAGCCACAGGAACCCAGGCTAGCCCAGCTGGGCCCTCCATGTGGACCCCATAATAGGTATGACCCTGCACACAGAGACTCAGGGTGCCCAAAGGGTCCCCCTTTCTGCGCCAGGGCCCTGGGCTTTCTGGACTCTGCCACTAACCCACAGTGAAGGAACCCCTCCTGGGGAGTCCTTTGGTATACCTGAACACCTTTGTTCACCTAAATAATGCTTCTCCTCCCGAGAGCATGGCTGCTCTGACCTCTCCCATCCTGCCCCCACACCTACCCCCGGGGACTGTCACTATCCCATGGAGGACACCTTCCAGGCAAGGGCCTGCATCTCAGGGAGCACGGACCCATGGTTCTGACTAGAGCCAGCCCTGGGGCAGCACAGGAAGGACCCGGGTGTTGGGTGGACACAGAGAGGACACAGCACCACACAGCCTGCAGCTGGGACCCTTCCTAAACCAAAGCTCTTGTCACTTGACCACCACACCATGGTCAGAGCCACCACACCTATTTAAAAAAATCCAAACAGGAACAGGAAGCACAGTCGAGGTCAAGTCTTTAGAAACTGACAAGTGACCAGGCTCAGCGAGACTTGTGTAACCACCCTGCTGTCCCCAAGGCTCCTGCCAGGTTCCCACCTTGCCTGCAGAACAGACCTGGGGCCCCTGGCAGGGGCTGCCCTCTCCCTGTGAGAACCTGTGATGACCAGCGGTCCTCGGGAGCCAGGCATGAGCACTGTCCCATTAGGTAAACTGAGGACCCCAAGGAAAGCCAGGGCCCTGATGTGCACCCAAAGGAGACTTCGGCGTCCCTGGCTGGTTCAGTCACGTGTCTGTGCTGGTCTCCCCAATCTGGCTGGACACAGAGAACTGTTGACCTCAAGGGACAAGGGAGGACCCTGAGGACTGGGATGTGCCACCGTCTCAAGCGTGCAGGGAAGTGGGGGCAGCCACGGCCTCTCCTTCCTGCCTGGCTCGGCTCCAACCCAAGCATGTAACAGGGCCTCGTAACACTTACAGCTCCATCTGCAAGGCCAGCGTTCTCCAGGCCCTGGGGTCCCGGGTGAAGGCAAAAATGGGGACAGAGAACCACGGGGCTTGGCAGAGCCCATCTGACCCAGGCCTTCTTCCTCATAAAAACTGGGCTGAGCTCCAGAGGTGATGGCACCAGCCAGAGGAGGACACTACTCGGCCTGGAGGATATAGTGCTGTCTGTACCTATCACCCTCAGGGACAGAGGGCAGAAGGCTGGCTTGAGGACTCAGAAGCACCAGGGAGACCAGCTGGGCAGGGCCTCAGGGCAGCAGGCATGCACAGGTCATGGCTGAAGGTAGCAGCCCCAGACTCTGCCTTGGGTCTTCGGTCCTAGGCACATCCTGCAGCCCCCTGTATGGCCTGGTCAGCCACGGCCAGCAGGTGTCAGGAGCGAGGCGCCCCCTTGTGGACCTCTTGTAGCTGCTGGCACAGCCACAACCAAACAATGGGGCTGGCTCATAGCCACTTCCAATGGAGACTCAGCATAGCAGGCAAAAGAAAGTTGGGGAACTGGCACACAGGGAGGGGCAGAAGGTGGCCACAGAAGGGGTACCAAGGGGGACACAGAAGGTGGACACAGATGGGTGCTCCATCAGAGCACATTTCTGGGGCTGTAGGGGGCAGGTGCCACAGAGGCAGCAGGGTACCAGTATAACTAGTCCATGTTTATTGTGGCAAGTTGTGACACAGCTGGCTGAGCCAGGACAGGATCACTGGGACTCCTCTCAATGTTGGGGCACAGCCCTGGACCTGCACACACCTACCCACAACACGTGGGGCTAGGCAGCCTCCCAAGGCCAGGCACCCTCACCCCTGCACCCATCAGAAGTGGAGAGCCCAGCAGGACGGTTCAAGGCACTAGATTTCCTGACGCCACAGTGTGGCTGCGGCTTCGGGGTCTGCCGGAGACACTCACCCAAGCGCCATGCCCAGCCTGCTCTGCATGCCGGGGGGCTGCCACTCAGGCTGGGGCCCATGCCTGGCTGCTGTGACGATCCGCAGGGGCTGCAGGTCGGGGATGGGGCTCATGGGGTGGGTAAGGGGAGGGACCATTTGTATGTGAGATTCAAGGCACAAAGGGATAGGGGCTCTGGCTGCCCCGCCCCCACTCCCCATCCTGCCGAGACCTCCTGGGCTCCATGCTCCTCCATCTAGTCAGAGCTCCAGGGGACCGACGCAAGGCCTTCACAGTGCACCCAGCCCAGGGTACAGCCTCGCAGGTCCGTGATGGCTTCACAGGTGGATGCTCTGCTCTGGCCCAGCACCCGTGCTGGTGCCAACCCTAGATGCAGATGGGCGGGGCCGTCTCATGCACATCCAGATGTCCCCGGGGCAGGCACAATCAGTTGGCTCATTAGAAACCCGAGAACCCCATAGCAAGTCCCTGAAAGGGGCAGCCCGGGCTGCTAGCTGGAGGCCACAGTGCATGGTCACACTGCCAAGGCCACCTCCACAGAGCCTGTGCCACTCCTGCCCCTTGGTCTCTGTGCCAGGAGGGTGACCCACCTAGTACCCAGGCCAGCTGGGGCCTGAGGGTGGGGGGAAGCCGTAGGGGGGTGTGGGCCTGGTGGGGTACGGGGGCCCAGGGGGCACTGGGGGCTGGGGCTGGGTGGAGAAGCCGGGCAGCGGAGCCTGTGTGGGGTAGGGGGGCTTCCCTGCCATGGGGAGAAAGGGGGACTGCTGAGGATAGCCAGGACTAGGGACCCGGCCCCCCGCCAAGGGGTATCCAGGACCTGAGGTGCTAGTTGGGGGTGTGGGATAGCTCTGCTGGGGTGGCACGCCCCTGACGGGGGACCAGGCATAGCCCATGGCCACCCCGGGCCGGGGTCCAGGAGGTGCCCCATAGGCTGAGGGCTGGGCCACCACTGGGAAGGGGGCTGGCGGCAGGGCGCCCTGGGCAGTGGGGCCAACAGGCAGGCTGGGTATCGGACTATAGGGCAAGGGGTAAGGGGGTGTAGTCGATGGCGGTGGCTGCACTTGTGGCGGGGGTTCCTCAGCCACGGGGGGCACAGCCTGGACAGTAGGGCGTGGTGGCACCGGTGGCCGGGGTGGAGGGGTGTCCCCCGCAGGCTCCTGAGGCACTCGGGGCCTCCTCACCACATCCTGCAGCTTCTCTACCCGCACGCGGCGCAGGTGCGATAACGTCCGCATGGCTGAGAAGTCCTCCAGGAACCGCTCCAGTGGCACCTCACCCTCCAGGAACCGCTCAGCCATGGCCTGCGGACACATGGGGTGATGACTGTGGGCATGAGAACACTGGCCTTGGCTCCCCCAGTTCACAGCAGCTCACAACGCCTGTGTCTCCACTGTCTGGGGTCCCCATAGTCCCCTACTGACACCTGTGCGCCATTAGTCCTCTGTGTCCCTTGAGGGAACACCAAGGCCTTCAGTGCTCCCAGCCCAGCAGTGGGGCAGAGAGAAGCCTCTGCCTGAGACTGAGGGACTTGGGGGATGGAGACAGGGTGGGGCAGGGGCAGGTGGCCCTGGCCCCCATGGGATCCTGGCTCCCCACATGGGGGCCACCAGGGCAGCAGTCCCCATCTAAGGTCAGCCCAGCCCAAAAATACAAAATGGAAAATTCTAGCAACGAACAGCTGGCAATTTGAAGTGACCCTCTCTTGCAACCCATTGTTATAACTGCTCTATCTCATTACTGTCATTAATCTATCACTGCACCTCACTGATAAACCAAATCTCATCTGGCTCATGCAGACACACTGCATGCTGGAGAGCAGCTGAGTCCAGTGCCCCTGCGGTTTGGCATCCACTGGGGTCTCAGAGTGTCCCTGCCGCCACAAGGACAGGGCTTCACTTGTGCCCAGATGACCCAGAGGACACCAGGTGACCTGCCATGCCCCTAACGCACCTCAGACTCCTCCTCGATCTTCATGCCTTCGATCTGCAAAAGGTCCAGCAAGGTCCCTGGCTGCAGTGCAGAGGAAAACTTCTCTGGAAGGGGAGAGGCAGGCGTATGGTCCACAGAGCTGCCTGCATGGTCGGCACTGGAGGTCGTGGGCCTGGGGAGGGCCCTGCACATCCCTGCAGGGCTCGCAGGGCCCTTGCTGCGCTGCCCCTTACAAGTCACTTTCCCGGCCAGAGAGGAGCTCAGGAGTCCGGCCAGCCAGGGCACGTACGGACGGGGGGACTTAGGTCTTACTCTGCCCAGGAGCTCCTTCAGGCAGCCCCTTCCCCCTTCCTGGGCCAGTGCTCTGTACTCCAGTCCCAAGCCTGCCGTCTCCAGTACTGCACCCTCTGCAGCTCTACATGGCCCTTGGCCCAGATGTCTCACTGGCGACATGCAAATCCCATAGTGCTATCCCTACCCACTGCCTGTGAAGCCCAAGGCACCAGGCCTGCCTGGTGGGCACAGGGCTATGTCCACACCACTCCGGCCGCCTGCCCTGCACCCACCCAGCCTGGCCTTCTGCTCCTGGCACCGCTCCACCAGCCTGCGCAGCTCCTGGTACTTGTCAGAGAGGTTGGAGCGGCTGATCTCCAGGGGGGTCTGGAACTCCAGGTTCCGCTCAGCCAGGCTCCGGTTAGTGGCCAGGGCCATCTCCCGCTCCAGCTGTAGGTCCTGGACCTAGAAGAGAAAGGCACTAATGACGATGAAAGCCATTCCTACTTTTCTTTGAGGGCCCAGGGCATACTCAGCCTCACCACAGTCAGGCCAGCAAGTGCAGTCATGTAGGCACTGGGGGCCCAGCGCACTCAGGTGGACACACATGGGACTCTCGCACTGTGGTGACAGCCTGCCCTAGCCACTTGCTGGACAGCATCAGGCCCCTGGTGGCAGAGCTTGAAGAGAAGGCTGACTAGCATGGGAAACTGGGGGTCTCACAGCATAAGAGGACCCCAGGCTTCAGAGCCCAGTGGTCACTGATGATGCCCAGGGAGGACTAGGTGTCTTTGGTTTCACAGTGCCACTGGGATGCAGGGAGGAGCCTGGGACATGACCTGTGCTCCTCTGCACTGCCAGCAAGTAGGTCAGAAGCCACACACCTCTCCTAGATGGCAGTTCACAGAAGCCACGTGTCAAGGCTCCAGGGCAGTCAGCCAGCCCAAGGCCCTGGCAGGGAGAGGCCATGGCCGTGAGAAGTGGGTAGGTCCTCGGTTAAGTGCAAAGCTCCACACAGATAGAAGCAAGAGTGCACCTGTTACCATGACTGAGGGCCAGCCAGGGTGCCAGGCATGGTGGACACAGGGTCAGACGGGGATGCACTGTGGCCCAGCCCTGGGGCCCAAGTCACCCACAGCTGCAGGGCAAGGTGGGCCAGACTTGCCAGTGCTGGAGTCAGGCCAGACCCAGTGCATAGCCTCAGGGGCTGTGGTACCAGAAGGCCCGGTGGTACAAATCCACATGGGTCCCAAGCTCCCCACCACTGCCGATGCTTCTGGGGAACCCAGGAACTGGCCTGAACCCTTGGAGGTTCATCTGGCCTGGCCTGGCAAAGGGCAAAATCCACAGCAGGTAAGGGTTGGCCACACCCCAGCTGGCCTGGGGCTCCCGCCTGGATGGCCTCACCCACCTCCGGGGACTCCAGGGCCAGCCGGCCGATAGCCTCTGGGTCGCTCTGCATCTCCTCTAGCTCCTGCAGGGTCTTGTCTTTCAGGGTCTCCATCCTGCCCTGCAAACAGAGCACAGGGAGGTGAGGGGCAAGGCTGGGGCCTTCCCAGCCCACAGTGAGGGCCCAGGAGGGTGTCAGGTCTCTCCTGCAGCCTTGCCACCCCCTCCCACATCAAGAGTCAGGAGGACCCACCCACATGGTGGGGAAGGGGAGCACTCAAAGGCCCTGGGCAGGCAGCACAAGCCCAAAGGTCCCTGCAGGCTACAGGAAGCAGGAACTGGGCCTGAACTCAGCTGAGCGTCGCTGGCCAGCAGCAGCACTGTCCAGAAATACCCAGGGTACACAGGCTATGGGAGGCAGCCCTGACTGTCATACTCGCTATATTTAGTGCACTGGTAACCTCTGATCCTCCCAGAGCTCTGAGTGATGGCGCTCACCCTCCCAGGGTTACAAAGGTGAGTTGTTCTGGCTGTGCTGGAGTTGAGCAGACACAAGAAACCCCCAAATCAGTGTCTCAGGCAGCTGGCAGCAAAAGAAGCCAGCTAACCAAAAGAGGACCAGTGCTCAGACTGAGCTGAGTCTTCTCGCTGGCCCTCAGTGGGAGAAAGGTAGCCATAGCCAGCCAGGAGGGAACCATTACTGGCACATCGGTGCCCCTGAGAAAGTCCCAGGCAGACACAGCCACCTTATCAGGGACTTGGTTTCCCACCTGTAACAAGAAAGAAAGTGTCTCCTGGGGCATCAGCAATGTGAGGCCTAAGCCCCAAGTCCCTTTGCCAGGAAAGCCCAGCTCTCCCTCCTGCCCAAGCCTCGGCCCTGCAGGCCTGCTGAAGGCTTAGCATCAAGAGGCTGGGGGCTGTGTGCGGGGATCAAGGGCAGGCCTCTTGAGCACTCCATGCCTCAGTTTCTCCTCTGTGCCCAGACTTTTGAAAGAATGAACAGAGCTCCTGCTTGGGTCCCAGGCACCCCATCTGTTTTTCTCTTGGTCACCCCAGCACTCCCCAGATTCTGCCAGGGACTGACCCATCACTAAGGTGACAGAAACTGCCAGCCAGATTCAGTCAGATAAACCCTCAGCTTCAATCGGCATCACTTCGGAGCAAGGAGCAGCTGCCAGCAGCTTCTGTGTGAAGCTCCTGACAGTGGTACCCAGCACCCGGCGACACCCTGTCCCCCATCAGCCTGCAGCTGACCACTAAGAACACCCAAAGCAACGCAGGTGGGATCCGCATTCACTCGTCCTGTACCCCGACATTCAGATGGCTTTGAATCCACAAGTGAGGCTGGCCACCCCTGGGAGGACCACAACACAAGGCAGACACCATGAGCCTGTGGGGCCACATGGCTGCTGCCCCAGCTGGGAACAGAGGGGCCATAGCTGACCCCACCCTGTGTGGGGCTCTCTGGCCAACGGCATCACAAATACTGCAGAGCCAGAGAAACTGGGCCATGCCTCAGACCCTGCGGGAGCCCATGAAGGTGTTGGCCAGCAGCAGGCCCAGCAGAGTCACGAGCTGACCGCACTCCCATACCAGGCTGAGTGTCCCAATCCTTGGCCTCGAGTCCCGCACAGCTCAGGTGATCAGAGACTCCTGGCCCTGCTTCCAGTCCTCTGGCTCTGTAGCCTGGTACTGTATTTACTTTGTGCAAAACCACACGCTCCATGGCTCAGTGTACACATGCCAGCTAACCCCTCTGCAGCCAGGTCCCTGCCAGCACCCCTTGGTGCTCCTGTCCTCCCTTCTCCTCTAGGGATGGGGTGTGACCTCAGTCTCCTGGCAAATGGATCGGTGAGGGTCAGGGAGTTGGGATCCTGTCCCCAAGGAACCCATAGCGCACCCTGCCTGGGCACTTGTGCCCCACCTGCCCCCTGCACCCACAGAACTCAGCACCGATCCCACTATTGCAGCCCCAGAGCAGCCTCTAAAGGCTCCAAGTGTGTCCTCAAACATTACCAAGAATGTCCACAGAAACAACACCATGCCAGCAACCAGCACGGCAGAACCATGGCAGGCAACATCCAGGTAGAAACAGACACACAGAGAAGGGAGAAATGTCACTCGTAAGGAGAAAAACAACCACTAAAAAGAAACCCAGAAATCAAATAGATGAGAGCACCCCCAAGCAAAGACATGAGACCAGTTACTCCCACCTGTTCTGTATGTTCAAGCTAGAAGGCTGAGCCAGATGGCTGACCTGAACACATCCTTTTAAAGGTCTAAGTCAAACTTAGAGGAAAAACTACAAAGCTACCATTTAAAAAGTGTATCAGACAGCAAAGGGGGCAGACTGGATCCTGCAGGTCAGCAGTCTGAAGACCTAGCAGTAGAAATCATCCAAAATGAACCACAGGAGGAAAAAAACACTGGGGTGATGAATGATCAGCCATGGGTAACTACAGACACCCCTTGCTGGTACTCTTCCCAGGGACAGAGCGGGGCAGGGAAATGAAAAAGTATCTTAAAAATTACTGGCTGAAAATTTCTAACTTTGATGAAAGTTATACACCCACATGTCCAAAAACTCAATCCCAGGACAGAAACATGAAGAAAATGACACCAAAACACACTGTAAATTACTTAAACCAAGTGGTAAAAAATCAACTAGAGGGAGAGATGTATCATTATGAACAAAAGACCAGAAATGAGAAAAGCAGCAGACCACATCTACGAATGCTGCATGCAGTGGATGCTGGAACATTAGCGTACACAAAGAAAGTCAACCTAGAATTCCCCATCCAGGAAAAACACCTTTCCACAACAAGGCCACACAAAGTGTGGTGGCCCCTGCCTGTTATCCCAACACTTGGGAGGCAGAGGCACGAGAATCACCAGGAGGTGGAGGCCAGCCTGGGCACAGCCTGAACTGTGTAGCAAGCTCCTGTCTCAAAAAAGCAAAAACAAAAACACGAAAGTTGCCCCAGACATCCAAAAGTGCAAAGAACTCCCCAAGCACAGAGCGCCTGAGAAATGTCCGAGGAAACCCTCGGTCAGAGGGACATGGAATGGGTTGGGAACATGACTCCCCATGGAGGAACAAAAGTGCCAGAACTAGACAGAAATCACCGTGAGCCCCATGCTGTACTGTATGGTCTCCTTAACAGACCACTATGAAAGGAAGGTGGCATGCACCAGGGTACTGGGGCTAGAAAGGCAGGGAGGGAGTCACTGTGGGGCCTTTGGGAACCTCCCTGGAACAGGCAGGGATGACGCAAGGCACGCACCAACACAACCCCTGAAAGTCCCACGGAGAATGAGCCAATGAAGGAGACGAAGGGAGCCGAGGACACCGAGGAAGGCAGAAAGCAAAGCAAAGGGAAGGGAAGCAGCGGGTCAGAGGACAGCAGACGGAGACAGTGGCCTCAAACCAGCCGCCTCAAGGCGCACCTTACATGTGAGCGGGCCGCACACTGCAATTGCGCAGAGCTATATTATTCTTTAAATTTTATTTTAAAGAGAAAAAAATTCACAACAAGGTAACAGGAGAGTAACCATGGTTAATGCACTGCGTGTTATCTTTACATAATGGTAAGACTGGATGTGTGTGTGTGTGTGTGTGTGTGTGTGTGTATGTGTGTTTGTGTGTGGAGACAGGTTCTCGCTATGCAGTTCAGGCTGGCCTTGCATTCACTTGGTAGCCCAGGCTAGTCTTGGACTCACAACAATCCTCCAGCCTCAGCCTCCTGAGTGCTGGGATTACAGGCGTGCACCACCACGCCTGGCAAGACTGGATTTTTAAAAAGGATCACGGCTGCCCATGAGAAGCCCTTGAGCATCAAAGCCCTCGACAATGGAAGAGCTGAGAGATCAAAAACACTCACACAGGCTCTGAGTTCCTGCCTCACTGCACAAGTCCTCCTGCCCTCGCTGGCGCGGTTCCTCCCCGTCAAGCTTGTTTCCCTGCAGCGCCCACACCTGCACCACCATCCCAGGGCGTTTCCTCTGCTCCGCTCCCCTCTGTGCCTATGCAGGTGACCTCAGCACAGGACTCTGCCTAAGACTCCTGCAGCAGCCACAAGCTGGACTCCCTGCTTCCCAGTAATAAGTGATCCCTGCCATAAAAACCGCACTTCCGGGCCCACTGTTGCCGCGCACTAGCTGCAAAAACCCTGGCCTGTGACTAAGGCTGCCATGAGTGGCATTCAAGGTGCCCACCCAGGTTCCAGCTGCCCCTCCTCAGGACGTGCCCTCAGGGCAGCAGCTGGCTCGTGCCGAGACCCTGTTTAAGTGTTTGAGGAATCAGTGGACTGCTTTCTACAGTGGCTGCATGGTTTACATTCTTACCAAAGATGCATCAAGTTTCAATTTTTCCACATCCTCAGTAACATTTATTAGTTCCTGTTTTTTAAAATAATAACCATCTTATTGCAGGGGTGGCAGTGCACCCCTGTGAGCCCAGTACTCAAGAGGCTGAGGCAGAAAGATTGCCATGAGTTTGAGGCCAGACTGGGCTACACAGTGAGTATGTAGCCACCCTATACTACATTGAGACCCTGTCTCAAAAAAAAAAAAAAGTATATATAAAATACCAGCACTCAGGTGGCTGAGGCAAGAGGATCCTCACAAACTCAAGACTAGCCTAGGCTACGACGAGCTCAAGCCCAGCCTGAACTGCACAATGAGATCCTGTCTCACCAAAAAACACCGGGCCAAATCCACAATGACAGCCGGAAGTTTCTCTTCCCTTCTCTGGAGAACTGACAGAGGACAGGAAGTTGAAGTGGGTACAGGAGCCAAATACCACCGCCAAACAACTTGGTTGGAATTATAGCACAGTCCATCTGAGGGTGGCAGGCCACCTTGTCCCTCTCAAGCATCCACAGGGATTCACCAGGACTGGACCATAGCTTAGGCTCAGTTCCAGGGGAACTGTTCAGATCACACAAAGGACAAGGGTAGGAGCCAGTGCTTCCTGGGCAGGGAGCAGAGTATTTCTAGCCAGTAATCTTGCTAAGACGGGATAAACCAGCAGTGAGGTCACAAGTGTCTCCTCAATGCAGCTACGTCCTTCCTGTCCTAAGCCCCATGGGCTCCCTGGCCAGCCCTGAGAGAATCAAGACAAACCTGTCTGATACTTGCTTACTGTTCCACAAAACTACTGGCAACAGACGAGGCAAGGGGAGATCATCAAGGAAATGCCTCACAGCCAGCATAGCTAAGGGGCTTGCAGTTACAGAGGCCACTCTGCCACCTGCCACCCACCACCCATTCCGAAGGCAGCTGGACACTTCCAGAGACTCTAAGTCCTTCGAGGAAACCCCTAACAGGACTCCTGCCTGGCGGGCATGCAAGGTAACTGAACGAGACCTTCCACAGTGTGCTTATGTCAGCCTGGAAAAACCCAACTATTCCTGGCCAGAAATGGTTCACTGGCTACTGATCCCAGAGCCCTTTTAACAGCAGATTAGTACATTTCAAAGCAAAGAAAACAAGAATTCTTAGTAACAACCCAATTTCCAAGCCACCAGGAACCCAGGACTTGTGTTAAAGTAAGAACCACCTGTTGTGAGATTTCTGGGGTCCCCTCCAGATACCATCACCAGTCTCCAAGGCCAGGGTTGGAAACCAAGGAACCCAGGAGGCAGCATGAGAGTTAAAGGCCACCCAATCAGCTCTGAAACAAGGAAGAAGGATTAAAACTCTCCACTCTGTCACCTCCCAACCGTGTGACAGTGGCCAAGTCATCTGAGGTCCCCTTGACACATCTGTACACAGGGACCACTGTCTATCTGGGCATTCAAAAAGCCCAGAACAGTGCCTGGCACAGGACCAGCACTGGGGCTCACACTTTGCGAACAGCTGCCAGAAGCTGCGGGATGAACCTCGTCTACTTAATGGAAATTATAAAGGCACTGTGCCAGATTCCGAGATAATCTTGGAAAAGGCTTTTCTGGCCTGCAACTGCCCATAATGAAGGCTCAGGTCAGCGTCTCCAGCGCCTCAGCCCAGCAGGCTTTACTTTTCAATTCCACCCAGAGCCTGGAGACCAGGGCTGCAGAGGGTTTCAGAGCTGCACAACGGACAGGGACGCCTTCCCGAAGCTCTGTCTCCTCCACCTCCTACTATAGAGCCCGCGGGCACAGAACTATCATATCCTGGGTGTCCGGGCAGAAAGGGGGATCCTGGATATAAGGGGGGAACTGAAGGGGTGGAGAAGGGCTCGGGCAACCAGGGAGGACTGGGACCCCGAGAAACCAGGCAAAAGGTCTGTAAGGCTCCAGGCTGGAGTGGACATTGCCCGCAGGAGGCACACAAGTGGCTGCAGCGCTGGTGGCAGGAGTTGACCGCACCTTACAGCCCAGTTGGGGCCCTCGTTCTCACCCGCTAGGATGGCACCTTGGGTTCCAGCCCGAGGGCACGGAATGCAGACGCACACTCTGCCCACTAGCAGCCCTGCCCTGAGTGGGGCAAACGGCGCACAGTCCCCGAGACCCCACGCTGCCCTCTGACAGGTCAGACCCCGCTCTTGGACCTCGGTTTCCCCATCCGCACAAAGACACCCACTCCAACGCCACCACAGCCGTGGTGGCAAGAAGCCCACGCGGCGGGGGTACCGGGAGTGCGGGGACAGCAGCAGCGCCCGTACGCGAGGGCCCGCCCCGCCACCTCGCGCCCCTCGGCAGGGTCCTGCTTCGGCAGAGGCCACTCAGGAGACCAGGGGCCACGCCCCGCCACGCCCTGCCACGCCCCACCACGCCGGGACAGCCGCACGTACCCCCAGCCGGCTCACCTGCAGCCACCGCACCGGGAAACCGCAGCCAAGCGCCACTTCCGGGATCCGCGAGCCCCGCCCCGCCGGATGTGGTCCCCGCCCACGTCCGGTGGCCTGGCGGTGGCGGCCCGGCTCACGCGCTACGCGCCCCGCCCCTCAGGTTTCTCCTCAACCGGTCTGCAGCCCTGGCCACACCCCTCAATCTTGGTCCCGCCCCTCCCGCTGGTTTTGTTTCACCACGCCCTCACACTGGGTCCCCCTGGCCTGGCCCCGCCCCGCCAACCTGGCCCCGCCCCGTTCTCAGACCGGATCCCACCTCTACTTCCCTGCTGAGTGCGCCTGCGCAGTCAGCCGTGTGCTAGGTTTTTGGAACCTAGAGGCTTAGACTAGACAAGGCTCCCCGTATTTCCCTGCCATATGACTCGACGCAACGACCTCTGTCTTCGCCTCGCACAGGGTTCGAATCTCTAGGGTCGGATTCGGCCGCCCCAGCCGCGGTGAGGTTGCTCAGTCTGAGGAGGGCCAACGCTGTGCCTCGATTTCTTCTGTCATCAGCTGTCACAGTGTCGATGGTGGAGGTGCTCCCGATGGCCAGAGCACAGACTGTTGTCTTGAGCCTGCCCTGAGACAGCGGTAGGACAGGCAGCCAAGGCCGACGACGTCACCTGTGGATCTACTCTTCCACTGCCAGCCCAGCACCCAAAGGCCCAGAGTTGGCATCACCAAGATACAAGGAGCAGGCTGAGCCATCAGATAGGGTTAAATCACCCACAGAGCAAGAACCTACGCGGAGTGACCCACTGTGCCACCAGAAGGGGAGCAGGGCGGGGCACAGGAGAGTCGGCTACCTGAGCAGGCAGAGCCAGCAGCTGTGTTTCATTGATGCCCCCTCTCTAGGGTTGGGGCTCAGCAGTCAAACCTGAAGCCCAGTTAGAGGAACTCTTTCTGGGGACAGTGGTGACATGCGGGCGCAGACAGATGGAGCCCAGTCAGTGGGGATCCCTGCCCGATCCGTGCCTGCAGGAAAGGCTCCCCAGGCCGGCTCGCTTAGCCCTCACAGTGTGACCCGGAGCCACAGTGTGACCTGAAGACATGGTTCAGGGAAGCCAAGAGGGCAAAAGAGTTAGGCGAGGGCCTTAGCCACACAGGAGATGGCTCCCTGCGGCCTACAGAAGGACAGCCACCCTGATGTTGCCAGGGATGTGGGGATAGAAATCTTGGCACACCCCACCTTGCCCAGAGGGCCCTGTGCTGGGATCTGGGGAGGTGTCACCCCCTCTGCAGCACCAGGAGCCCTGCTGAGCTGGGCCCAAACCAGACCAGCACAGAGCTGGCAAGCTGCAGGGAGCGAGGCAGCCCCAGAGCCACCCGGCCTGGCTGGTCAGTGATGCCCAAGCTGGACCTGGGGCTCACAGCAGGCCCATCTGGTTGCCTTAGCCCTCAAGGCCTCCAGCTGCCCTTTTGGCTGAAAATGGGATAGCCAATCGAGTCCAAAACACACCACCATCTGAGCACTGTAGAAATGGAACCCAGCATCAGGGCCAGGGAATTCTGGATGTCAATTGAGAGTGCAGTAGGTGATGACAGGAGCAGAAGCCATGTTGAAGCAGCCAGGTGTCATGCAAACTAATACAGTGTCCCCAAGGCTTCGGCCCTGCAGGCAAGCTGGGCCAGGTGCTGCACAATGCCCAAGGTCCATGCTGAGCAATTCCCCCACTGACCCCAGCCCAGTGCTTCCTCTTCAGGTCCTGCAGGCTCCCACTCATGCCGGACAGCATGCACATCTGCCTTAAACACCCAGGAGTACTGCTGAAGAGCGACTCTGTCCTGTGATACAGGAGCCTTGCTCTGTTATCCCTCAGCCCCCGATTCCCACGAGCAGGGACTCAGCATCTGCTCAGCTCCCATGAGGCTCCACATTGGTCTGAAGGGAAGAGGGAGCAAGAACAGGAACGGAGTGCCTAATAACTGCTTCCATGACAACCAGAAGGACCAAAGAGGCTCACACCCAGTGGGGCAGGCCCTGCAAAGGTAAGGGTCTAGAACAACAGAGGCCTAGGATGCCAGGTAAATGGCCACCATCCACCTCCAGGCCTCCTTCTGCTCTTGGGCACGGCACTGTCAGTGGAGCTTTGGGACCACAGGGCATCTACCCCATCTCTAGCCTTCCCCCAGGGCACCTATGACACCAGGTCCTGCCCAATGGCCAGCCCGTCCCCACACTCATAGGCTGCATGCAGCCAGAGGCAGCCAGGGCTCAGGTGCATGGGGCCAAGTGTGCCCTAAATGAGCTACATGGATAAACCAGTTATTGCTGACTATGCTGATGCTGGGCACAGCCCTGAAGACTACCGGCAGCAAGGCTCCAGGTTTACTTGTCCTTGGGCAGAGTCCTTGAACCCTTTGGTCTAGTCTTTCTCTGTGTGACCCCAGGGCCCCAGAGGTGGCTGTAGCCTCGCCAACACGGTCTATATCCTCTGCCTACCACAGGTGACTGCAGCACACTGGAGACGGCATCGCCCCTTCAGCCTGGCAGCTGGAGCCTTAGGGCTCCAGTGCCCAGCTGTCCTCTCCCCAGAACTGAAGGACAAGGTGGTGGCCACATGTATGGATTCTCTCTGACCCAGCCTCCCTAAATAATGGCTGCAGAGTGGCCTGAGAAGGTAGGAGTCAGGTTCCCGCCTGCTGAGGCCCCATGCCGAGCGCTCACCATGGTAGCGTGGCCCACAAAGCTGGGCACAAGCCAGGTACACCCTGGTGCCTGCCTCCAGCATCCATATGCTATGCCTCCCACTGTACCTGGTATCTGCAGGGCCAGCTCCAGAGACTGCTTTCACCTACCTTCAATGCCAGACCTGGGACAGACACAGGATTGAGCCCCAGGAGGAAAGGAAAGACTCCTCGTGTGCTGCCCATAGCCACTGGCAGTATAAATGCCCTTCTTCCTTCGTTCCAAGTTCCTGAGCTAGACTCAGCAACAGGGCAAGGTCCCCGCTCTCTGAAGCTGCGACCCAGCACCCCACCGCCCTGCCTTGTGGCTTGGGGGCAGCTTTTGCTAGGTTCCCAGTTTCCCCAGCTCCAAGATGAGCAGCCTGAGCTTGCTGCAGGGTGGCTATGTGCCAGGCTGAGTGCCTGCTAAGTGCCAGTACTGAGCAGTGCACATGTGCCTGAGGGGCCACATTCAGGTGGGCAAGTTGGCCTGGGAGAGGAATGGGGAGGGCAGATAACACAGTGTTACCACACTATGAGCTGGAGGACTAGGTGTGTTCGTGCAGTGGGGCACTCCAGGGTCCTCCCACCACAGCTCCCAGCAAGAGTCATGTGGTACAGCTTCGGGCTCCCCAAGGAAGCTTAGTCAGGAGGAAAATCCCCTCTCTCAGGAAAGGGCAGCAGGCGACCCCATGACCAGGGGGAATGGGAGCCCCAAGGTACTGATCCCAAACATGTCTCAGCTCCCATACCGAAGGCCTGGCAGGCAGAAGCCTGGGTAAGAGGGGACATGCCGGCTCCAGCTCCTCCCTTATGGAATCAGTAGAGAAAGGAACTTCCAAATGAAAGTGTTGGCGACATATATAGGGTCTCACTATGCTTTTCAGGCTGACCTTGCATTCCTGGAATCCTCCTGTCTTGGCCTCCCTCCCAAGAGCTGGGACTATGGGAGCACACTGCCAAACCCAGACAAAAACTTTCTAATCTAACATAAAAAGCAGAAGCATCATGAATCCCTTATTCCATCACTGTGCACCAAAACCTGCAGTGTTGAGCAAAAATCTGTCTTTTCTCTACACCCTCACCATTCAAGGTTTATTGTCCATTTTTTCCTGCATTTTGCTGGAATATTTTTGTGTGGACATGGTTTCCTCTATTCCACATCTCCAGGATCTGCCACAAAGCTCTCTGACTCGGCCTGATATCACACACAGAGACCTTTCCCAGCTCTCTTCCCAGTCTGGGAAATTTATATTTGTGATCCCATGGAAACGTGATTGGAAATCCACTTACTTCCAGTCAACCACTTCCAGTGCAACCCAAGGCGAGGATAAAGACCCTAAGACATATTTACAGTTATGGGACCAAGGGGTCCTAAGTCCAGCCAAGATGCTGTTCCCCAGAACAAAAGCCCCCACCCAGGGCCCAACTGAGTTTTATTCCTCCTCTGTGAGGGGCATGGCCCGGGGATGAGGCCACAGTGAGTGGCAGGAAGTCCATGAGGGCCTGGAGCCGGGCTAGGGAGAAGGCCTGAGGTCACCTCTGCCACATGCAGTGGAAATAATCTGCCTAGCACAGCTGAGGTAGTGTCTAATATGCCTGGATCCTTGCTTCAGCTCTAATGTGTGATCTTCCTGCCCTGGAAGGCACAGCCTCTTTCCTGAGGCTGAATCCCAGGCCATGGTGTGGAGTGTGGCTCTCCATCCCATCTGCCTGGCTTGGCCACATATTTGGGAGTTGCTGGGAGGGAAACAGGACTGCCGTTCCTCAGCAGCTCCTCAGCCAACCCAGTTGGCATTGACAGAGAAGTGGCCTGGCTAGCACTGTGCACAGCAATCCACAGAGTCGTGGGTGGGTTTACCCAAGGTGAAGAGGAGCGATCTTCTTCCCAGCAGTGCCCTTGAGTGCCTCCCTTTGGTCAGGACTCAGACCTTGTGAACCCTGCCACACTGTCTGGAGGATTAAGGTCCTGCTTGTGGGCTGGGGACAGGGCTCAGGACAGGGCTCCAAGGCTCCCCAGGAGGCCAGAGATGTTCCCCAAGCACAGGCAGCCACTGTGGCTTTCATCATTATTGCAAAACCAGGACCCAACATGTTGTCCCAAGGAGGGGGTAGGTCCCCTGAGGCACACAGACTTCTGCCATGCACTAGCGATGCAATCACTCCAGGGGTCCAGTGGCATCCTCTGCTGCAGAGTCAGTGTCATATCTCATGCAGGGGCACCCTGGACACTCCAAAGCCCCATCCTGCACAAGTCTGCGGGGATAGTGAGGGGAGTGGCTGGACGGTGCCACGAGAACCTGCGGGCCAGCTGTCCAGATCCTCCAGCCTTGCCTGTGCATCCCTTCCACAGGGCTGGGGCAGGCACACCGCAGTCTGCTGTGGACAGGTCAGAGGGAAGGCAGCAGGAGGAGGGAACTGGGACTCCCCTCTGAGGTACGGCCCAGGAAGCCCAAGAAGACTGAAGCCTGCAGCTCCCACGTCACCATCACTCACCATCGGAGATCCGAAAGTCACCCACGTGCCTGCTGCCTCTTGAAAACAGGGCCACAGGTGGTATCCAAATGGCGCTGCCCTGCACCAGCCCCAAGCATCCAATCCCTGCTCAGGCTGGGGGTTGAGAAGGCTGCTTGCAGCCTTTGCTCATGTTTAGAAAAATTCTATCTGTGAATCTGTTGCCTCATGAAACTGCATGGTGAGGCCTGCAGATGCACACACCCCTGAGGTGAATGCTGGGATCCTTTCCCGAAGCTGTTTGTGGCACAGGGAAGGAGACAGTGATGGGAGACGAGAGATGTCTGCTAAGGGCAGCACGGGTTGCTCTTTAGAATAGTAGGCGTGAGCCAGGGCCTTTGCACTGAGCTGCATCCCTGGCTCATTCATTCATTCATTCATTCAAGTATTGCTAAGTCACTCAGTTGCCCAGGCTGGACTCCTACTTGGGCTCCTCCTGCCTCAGCTTCCCAGAGTGCTGCACAGCATCTTCTGTCTATCTACTGGACTACACAGGACACATGGGAGGAATGAAATCATTCTCTTGGGTCAGAGGGACCAGAGGACCAGGTATCTGGTAATGTTCAGGGGACATGGTAGTGGGCAATGTTGGGGGACAGGAAATGAGGTTTCCTAGTGCAGACCAGCTAGAACCAGTGAGAGCCAAGCATCCTCCTGACGTCTGCTCCCCACTAGCCCAGCCCCCACACTGGGTCCTCATGAGTACTCACTGGGTGGCAGTGGCATCTTTGCTGCCTGGACTTCACCCCCCCCCACCCCGTGCCAGCCTTGTGCCACCAGCTCGCTGCATGGACACAGTGGCTCTGAGCACTTCAGGCCAAACCACCCCCAGGCCACTTCGCCGGGGGCCTCTCCTCAGGAACTTCATAGGGGTCGATCTTATCACCAAGGTTTAGGTTTCTTATTTCGGCCTTTGAGGAGCCCGGGGCACATGGCATTGAGCAGGAGTGGATTTAACAAGCAGTGCTCCTGGCCCTTCCACGCCCTGCTGCGCTCCCCTTTCTCTGAATCCAGACGTGATGTGGCCCGCGTTCCTTGGACTGGTGGCCGTTGCCCAGGGCCTGGTCACGTAAGTATGGGACTAGTGGTGCCTGCAGGCTTACCAGGTCCCTTCCTCCCGATCTGGCCCCTGCCACGGTCTCCTGCTGGTCTCGGGGCAGGGAAGGCAGCGTTGTCTCCCGAGCTTTCTCGAAGGCCAAGTCTCCCTTGGCCAGAAGCATCTTGCCTGATGTGCTGTGGCCCAGGGTTCCGGGTCCCCATCACCTCTCAGGAGGTGAATGGCCTCAGATCTCACTGTTCAGTGTACAACTTGTATGGCCAAGAGAGCAATGGGGCCTGGGATCACAGACCTCTGTAGCCCAGACTTCCCTGAATGGAAAAAGGATTCTGGTCCCTGCCCACCCACCTTCAGCACTGCTCTGAAAGGGGCCTCCATGAGCTGTGAGCAGCCAGGGTGGGTGGGACGCCTGTCACTGGAGATCCACATCACCTCCTGTAACCCCCTTAGAGGGGCAGAGCGATATGGCCACAGTGACAGTTCTCTATGCCCCTGGGGGAGGAGGGCGAGAGCATAAGAAGATCAAGATAGAGACAGGAAGGGGGGTGTCAGGTAGAGCCCTTCCTTGAATGAGAGGCAGAGATTGCTTGTCCACTGAGACACGCTCATGTGTACATTGATCCTGTGCCACCCCTGTCCCTTTGCTTAACTGGTTCGATTCTAATGCCTGTGCCCTCCAGCACCCTAGGCCGCTGGGGCATTTTTAGGGTGCTTGGTGCTTGGTGCTTGCAGCCCTGCACCCAGGCAGCAGCTCCCAATGGGCTTGGCTGCCTGCCCAGTGTCCCACTGTGCCAGGCTGATCTTGCACAAAATGGATGCTCAGGAGACCAAGGCAGGTGCCCCCACTGAGCTCCACCAACCCCCACCAGGGTCCCACTGATGAGGGTCAAGTCCCTGCGGCAGAGTCTGCGTGAGAAGGACCTGCTGGAGCAGTACCCGCTGCAGCTGGCACGCGGCACAGCCTATGCGCCCATACGGAACTTCCTGGATGTGAGTGGCATGGGCGTCGGGGCTGCAGAGGAGAAACTGCGGGAAGCAGGGCCAGTTCCCATCGCAGGGCTGGGCTAGGGCTGGCATGAAGGCCCTCCTGGTCCCAGGCACAGGTGACCCAGCCCTCAGCCCTGTGATTTCCAGGTGAGGTAAATCCCAGCCTCACGGGAGGGGGGCCCAAGTCTAATCAGAGGAAAGCAGGGCCAACCTGACCTGTGCAGGGCCCCTGGGCAAAGGGAGCCCCTGACCCTGTGTCCACCTGCAGGCGGCCTATGTGGCTGTCATCGGCGTGGGCACACCGCCGCAGGAGTTCCAGGTGGTACTAGACACGGGGTCCGCCAGCCTGTGGGTGCCCTCCATCCGCTGTGCCAGCCCAGCCTGCGGTGAGTGTCGCCACCCTTGCCCCACCTGGCCCTCTGCCCAGCCTGACGCCACCCACTTTGCCCACAGCCACACACCGTGCCTTCGACCCTCAGCTCTCCTCCACGCTCCGGGTCTCAGGTCGGCCCATCAGCCTGGTCTATGGCTCAGGCAGGATGTCAGGGTTCCTGGCCTATGACACCGTACAGGTACTGAGCCAGAGTGGTGGAAGGGGACAGAGGCTGGGATGGGCATCCCCTTGTCTGCAGGAGCCCCCACCCTATCTCTGATCTTTGCACCGCTTTACTGGTGTTTCCTGATAGCAGGTGCAGGGTGACTCTGCCTGGGCAAGGGAAGCAGTGAGGTCAAGCACTTTGGCCCAGGCCAGGCACAGCACCAGGTGCCTTGGTGGGAAGAGCGTGGCAAATACTTGCCATCTGCCTTCATGGCTGGCATCATTGTGCCCCAGTGTGGGCAGCAGAAGGGGCTGAAAGGGCACATTCCAGGCCAAGCAGCCTGGCCCAGGCCTGGGGCTGGCAGAGAAATGGGCACAGATTCCATGGGGCTCCAGGCCTGAGTGCCTGTGGGTACCTGCCCCAAAGTGCTGAGCATATAGACATACACATGTACAGTACATGTGTGTATCCATACACACGTACACAAGAGACCAAGCAGGCTACCTGACATCCTCGGTGGCCATGTCGATGATGGGCAGCAGGGCACACAACAAGAAAAGCTGTGCAAACCTCAAAAGACACCATCTTGCTAGCCAGTGGCCCCTGCATGGGAGCCATCAGGTCACAGCCTCAGGTTCCCTGAGGGAAAAAAGGAAAAGCCCTTTCCACTGTGCTGGGGTGCAGATGTGGGTCAGAACCCAGGGCCACACTCAGCATCCACCACCCTGCCCAGAACTGACCCCCGTCCCAGTGGGCAGGGCCACCTTGGTGCCCCAGCTTCCTCCCTCCCTGCAGATTGGGGGCCTGGTGGACGTGGCCCAGGCTTTTGGCCTGAGCCTGCAGGAGGCCGGCAGCTTCATGGAACACGCAGCCTTCGACGGCATCCTGGGGCTGAGCTACCCTAGCCTGGGCCTGCCGGGCACTATGCCCGTGTTCGACAGCCTGTGGGCGCAGGGCCGCCTCTCGAGAAAGCTATTCGCCTTCTACCTGAGCAGGTGCACAAGGGGGCCGGGGCTTTAGCTCAGCAGCTTAGGGCCTGCCTGAGCAGGTGCACGCTCACCTCTCCCTGCACCTGGGGTGGAGTGGGGAGGGGAGATGGTCCCAGTGCACATGGAATGCAGCTTTTGGCAGAGAGCATCAGAGGGATTGGCAGGGTCAGCAGCCATGGCCTGGGGTCACAGCAGTCGCACAGCACAGGGTCTGGTGGAAGGGACCCCAACAGGCCCACACACCAGGAGAAAAAAGATAGTGAAATGCACAGAAGAGGTAACTGGTAGGGACCTGGACAGTAGCACAGAGAGCAAGAAGCCAGCAGCTCAAGGGTTACAGGAACGTGACCTCCCTCCCGGAAATTTCACCGTGGATGGCAAGTGTGTCAGCACACACCCATAACCCTAGCTACTCCAGAGGCTGAGGTGGGAGGCTCTCCAATCTAAGAGCACCCTGGGCAACACAGCAAGATTTTCTCAAAATAAGCAGAAGCTTTTTCACAAAGAGCCCAGGACCAGCAGCATAACTGGCAAAATGGTAGTGGGGCCCTTGATTAAGAAATGCTGAGAAATTCAGGAAAGCAGCAGAGGGGGTGTGGAGCCCAGTCCCTGTCCCAGGCTGGCTTTGCCCCCTAGGCCTCCCTACCTCAGCCTTCCCATCCCCAGCCGCCTCCTCCTTCCCTTACAGCAAGGCAGAGGCAGGCAGCATGCTGATGCTGGGTGGCGTGGACCCCGCCTACTACAGCGGAGACCTGCACTGGGTGCCGGTGTCCAAGCCCAGGTACTGGCAGCTGGCCATGGATAGGTGAGTGTCCCCGCTCTGTGTGTGCAGGGCACCAACCTGTGTAGCCATGTGCGGGCTCACAGGCATACACAGCATCACAGACACAGTGGGGCCTGGGCTGATGCCATCACATGGTCACACCTGCACGCCGCCCTGACCAGATCTCTCCCAGGAAGCAAGGTCAGGGCTGGCATCAGGCATGCAGGGAGGGACAGGAATCCACAGGCTCAGAGAGGTCAGTCTGAGGATCCTGCAGGTGCCAGGCCAGGGGACCAGGCCCTTCCATCTGGGAGCAAGGGGCCCTGGCTGACTGGGTGGCCAGTGACCAGGACATGGCCTGCCCCACCCCAAGGTCCCAAAGCACTGTCCCTGGCACTGCCACCAGGGTGTGGCTGGGACCTGGACAAAACCCGCCTGGGCTGTGGGGATGACTCTGGGTCCTGGCATTCGTGTGACCCAGAAAACAGCTTCAAATGCACCGGAGCTCTGGGAATGGCCTTGCCCTTGGGGGTCTAGTTCCTCCTGGATAGAGGCAGCCTATACCCAAGGTGGCACTCAGCTAACCCCAACCTAATCCAAACCTGACCTCCTAATGCTGATGGCAGTCTGGCGCACACTGGCCATGATCAGACCCCGCCCTCCCACCACTGGTTCATTCATGTGCCATTCAAACTGCACATGAGCATGACAGTGCCTGTGGGCCCTGACCACTTGCACATGGGATCAGACCGTGGGGAAGCACCCAAGGCCGTCCCTGGAAGAAGAGCCTTCCTTTCCGCCTTGGGTAAACCTGGCCCCATTTCCGTGGACTGCTGTGCACAGTGCTGGCCAGGCCACTCCCTCAGCCCTAGCTGAAGAGCTGACGAGGAACAGCAGTCTTGTTTCCCTGCCCAGCGACTCCCAAATATGTGGCCAAGCCGGGCAGATGGGATGGAGAGCCATGCTCCACACCATGGCCTGGGACCCAGCCTTGGGAAAGAGGCTGTGCCTTCCAGGGCAGGAAGATCACACATTAGAGCTGAAGCAAGGTCCCTAGCATATTAGACACTACTTCAGCTTTGTGCTAGGCAGATTATTTCCACTTCATATGGCAGAGGTGACCTCAGGCCTCCTCCCTAGCTTGGCTCATGGCCCTCATGGATTTCCTGCCATTCACTGTCCCTCATCCCTGGGCCATGCCCCTCACAGAGGAGGAATAAAACTCAGTTGGGCCCTGGGTGGGGGCTTTTGTTCTGGGGAACAGCACCTTGGCTGGACTTAGGACCCCTTGGTCCCATAGCTGTAAATATGTCTTAGGGTCTTTATCCGCACCTTGGGTTGCACTGGAGGTGGTTGACTGGAAGTAACTGGTATTCCAACCATGTTTCCATGGGATCACAAATAAACTTTCCAGACTGGGACACGATCTGAGAAAGGGCTCTGTATAGTGGACGAGGCCCACAGACAGGGAGGCACTGCTCCACTGCCCGGCAGGAGCAGCAAGGAGCGGGTCACACAGGGCCCAGGCTTGAGGAACAAAATCCCCAAGAAAGTAACCATGAAGCTGGGATCCACAGCCTGAGAAGAAACTGGCCCCACCATGGGTGAGGTCAGGTCTGGGAAGGAAACCGGGTTGTACAAAGGCCCTGGCAAACAGGAGTAGATGAGGAGGTACAGCTGGAGACTGGGTCTGGTGCATTAGGAACTGAAGGAGCAGCTGGATGGGTATGCTAGTGTGCCTGGAATCCCCGATACTCAGGAGGCTGAAGCAGGAGGGCCCCTGGGCCCTGGCATTCTAGTCCTCTGGGCCAGTGCCAGCTGTGTCCTGTCTCATAGCATCTCCATGGGCGGGAAGGACATTGCCTGCCATGGCGGCTGCCAGGCTATCCTGGACACCGGGACCTCTCTAGTAAATGGCCCTCGCCAGGCCATTGCAGCCATCCAGAAGATCCTTGGTGCCAAAGGCTCCCGAAATGGCGAGGTATGGGTCTTCTGGGCTGGGCTGCCCCAGCACAGAGGGCTCAGTAGCACCAGCCTCCCACCCCTGTCTCCCACAGCTTGTGGTTAACTGTAGCACCATCAGTGCCTTGCCGGAGGTCATCTTCACCATTGGCGGCCTCAGCTACCCAGTGCCCGCCAGCGCCTACATCCAGAAGGTGGGGTCACAGTATCCTGGCTGCCTGGAAGCGGGGAGGCCTGCCTGCCCTAGTGGTTGGGCTGAGCCATCCCATGGTGGCTGGGACAAGTGGGCCCCGAAGTGGCGCCCACACTGAGCCTCTGCTGCCCTCCGGATGCAGGGCCGAGGGAGGGCACAGGCTGAAGCCACTGTTTCTTCCTCCAGGGCAACAATGTGTGCTATAGCGGCTTCGAGGAGGAGGCTGTGGACCAGGCCTTAGGCACTGAGGTCTGGGTGCTGGGTGATGTCTTCCTACGCCTGTACTTCTCTGTGTTCGACAGGGAGAATGACAGAATCGGCCTGGCTCCTGCCACTTAGGCACTACCACCCCCACCCGGCAGGCACAGATGGGGATCCCTCCCTGCCCTAGGGCCAGCAGAGCTGGGGGCTCTAGAGAGAATAAAGCTCTTATTGCAATGGTGGCTTCTTTCTGAGCTGGGAGGTGCCTCAGACGTAAGCGGGGTCCTGGACCCATCGGGGCCACTGGGCCCAGGAGCTGCAAGGACACTGAATGGCTGCAGCCAAGTGCCCCACTCTGTCTTCCCCAGCAGGCAGCATCCTCTGCCAGTCAGGCATGCTCAGTGCCTGCCCCGGGGTACAGGAGACCTCTACCTGGCCTGCAGGCTGTGCCTTGAGGACAGTGGGCTCCTGGGGTTGACTGTGCCTGTGCCTTCGGGTGGTCCTGGCCAAACTTTAGCAGGGGGCAGCTCAAGCTTCACCAGGGCACAGTCGTGATGCCACGCGGGGCAGCTGCCAACCTTCCTCCCACCTGGGGGCCCAGGCTGAGAGCAGAAAGGATTGGGTAGGGGCTGGGTCAGTCCTCCCCTCACTGGCCATTGTTCACTGAGCACCTGCCCGGAGCTGGGTGCTACAGGACCCAGGGACTAAGGGCTGCATTAGACCCAAGTCCTGAAGGATCACTGCAAATGTGAGGCCAGCCAATGACCCTCCGTGCCTTTCTTTGCCCCTACACCCTGGCTCACGAGTCCTCTTGGGCTCCAAGTCTGCTCCTCCTCCGGAGTCCTCTCCAGTCCTTGGGGTCCAGCCCTAAGGCCTCAGGTTCCTCGCTGCTTCATGGTCTCTAAGCATGCACTGAGGCCCTGCATACCTGCTGACACAACTCCACCCTGCTCAGTCCCTCCGAGTCTCTTTGGTCCTTTCACCAGGCTTCAGGACCATTTGTTTATCCTTGGTTTTCCCAAGTCTCCTCAGTCCTTTCCACAGGGCTTTGATCCCATTCCTTTATCTTTGGGTTCCTCATGTCTCTTGGATCCCTCCTTGTCTCCTCAGTTATTTCCATTCGTTCATCCTGTTTCTCCGGGTGACTTCCATCCATCTGGGTGTCCCACACACCAGCTTCTTGTGTCTCAGCCTCTCTTTCCGTGTCTTTGTGCCCCCTGCATTCCTCTGCAACTCCCGGGTTCCCCGACCGCCTCTCCACGTGCCCACCTTGCCCCTGCTGAGCTCAGGCTCCAGCCCGGTTCCCTGCACTCCCTACTCCTGGCTCTTGGTGGCGCTGTCCTCACTCAGCATTGCACCCAGGCTGTGCAAGCGCCCTTCCTGCAGGCTGCCTGTGCTGTGCGTATAAACTGGACAGAGGAGGATGAAGAAGAGAGACCAAAGAAAGGTTCACCCTCTGAGAAGTGGGAACACGGATTTCTCCTCCTGGGTGAACTCGGAAATCATCCCAGCTGTGCAGAGCTGTGCTCTTTTCTGTGTGTTATTTGAAAATAACGGGCGTATTTGAGGTAGTGATTGGTAAGAAAATTCCAAAATGATCAGACTGGGCTGGGGGTTTAGCTCAGCGGCAAAAGCATCTGCCTTGCGAGTTCGAGGTCGTGAATTTGATCCCTGGTACTGATTTTTTAAAAAATGACCAGCCTAACCCACATATTGTAAAAGTGGAACACATCCGTTTCATTTCATTTCTTTTCCTTTTTTTGGTGGGGCGGGGGAGGGGGAGAGACAGTGTTTCACTATGTAGCCCAGGCTGGCCTGGAACTCACAGGGATCCTCCTGCCTCGGACTCCTGAGTGCTGGGACTCCCACACTCACTTTTATGTGCTGTTATAACTTGCATTAAGATCAATACTTCCACTAACAACCAGGAAAGTGAAATAAAATACAAAAAATAAATAAGCTACATGTAGGGGATGAGGTGTCACTTTGAAGGCCCCAACCTCCTCAGATATGCAATATACAATAGCCCCCGGTATGCGAGACAGAGGTAGGACAGGAATGCCTGTTCTCAGTGAGATCTCTCACCCTCTGGAAACCATACTGTGTGAGCTGGCTTTGTTTTGCAAAAGTCTTGAGGAAGTGGCTGGCCACCCTTTGTGACACTAACAGCAGACAAATTAACAACATTCTTGGGCTAATGAATTTCTTCCTGGGCTAGAGGGTTAGGAGAACTGGTTGTGATTATTTACTTCACTTAGATAGTTTAGAATAAACATTGTAGTCTGTCACATTGTAGCTTGTCACAAAGAATGCCTTTTCACTACTTAATTGTCTGGGCTCTGTGAACTGATCCGGTTTACTATATATGAATCTTAAAATAAAGATTGTGTGTGCAGTGCAGTGCAATGCGGTGCAGGCAGTAAAAGTGCCGTGTCTCCTCTGTTTTCCTTTCCGAGCGCTGCACCCCCCGTGTCCCGATCAGGCGTGTTTGCGTGTTTGCCTTTCCCGGAGTTCAGAGTACCCTAGATACTCACGACAGCTACAGATATCAGGTCCTGGAGAAAGAAGAGGAGAGCCAAGGTGATGCCCCTGCTCTTTTGTGCCAGCTCTGCCCTCCCCAGCGCTCAGGTATTCCTAGCACCAGATACTGAAAAGACAAGAAAAATCACCATCTAAAGGACTAAAAATAAAAAAAGTCTTAGGGCTTGGTGGGTGAATTTGGAGTTCTTTTTCATCAAAGGTTAAGAACACAGAACTTAAATGAAATCCTAGTTTGTGTTACAACTCTCAAGAAATTCTTGCAGCTGGGGCACTTCATGAAGACAAGAGGTTTGTTGAGCACAGTTCTGGAGCTTCAAGGACGAAGTCCCTGTGAAGATGGCATGGCAGTGTGGCACATGAGCGGAAGAGGGTGGTGGGGCACTCGAAGCCACTGGGGCTTCAGTCAGGCTCATGTCCCCCGCTCAGGTCTCGGCTCCTGTCAGTAAAACACAATTGTGGCTGCCTCGAGGCTTTTTCCTGCTGGAGTCACCCACGGAGCCAGGCAAGAGCAGAGTGTGGAGGCACTGGGTAAGCTAGGGTTTGCAGCCACCCAAGCTGTCTATGGAATATGGTGGTCACCTCAACCAGGCTGGGTCGCCTGCTGCACAGGTGACACTGCAGATGCCAACACACACCCCAAGTCCCCCCTCCATGGCCCATGCCACCAACTCCTCCAGGACACCGCTGGCACACAGGGCAGAAATCTGGAAAAAGTGTCACAGGGCCTACAGGAGGTATTCTCCTTTCTAGGCAGCTCCAGAACACTTCAGAAAGAAACCTGATGCTGTTAACAACTGACCTTCAGATACACCCGTTTGCGCACATACAGGTGGATCCGTGCATCTTGGGCAAGTAAGATTGACACATAAAAACCAGGCACCTGAGCGTGAAGCCAAGCACTAGTCTCCGTGCCGCTCCCAGACACAAAGCCAGGTGTTCAGCAAAGGTGGTGCTGATGGCAAAGCACTCCCCACACCAAAAATAACAAAAACAACAAAGTTCCCCTTTCCTTCCAATGTACAGCGCGGACTGTTCTGAGAAAGATCCCTCACTGGACAGGGTGAGTCTGGCCATATGGGGTGTCTGCTGGTGTTGCCCGGGGACGCAGGCTTGGTGGAGGACTCATGGACCTCAGGACTCTGCCAGCTTGGCTTCCAGGCTATGGCTGCAGCCACCCCAGTGTATCCAGGTGCCTGAGGGAGCCTCAACTGGGCTCCACTGGCTCAGAGAACACAGTGGCCAGGCCTGCATGAGTCCATATTGTTGGATCTGAGTGTAGCCTATGGAGCTTCTTACAGATGGCTATGCTCACTGCACCCCATTCTCATCCCTGCTCAGCCATCAGTCCCACTGCCACTCTCTGGGCTGCTGCAGGTACAGACAGACCCAGACTGAGTCCTCAGCCACCTGTTGAGGCAGGTGAGGCAGAAGTATATCACCAGGGAAGGAGCCCGAGGGGCGACACCCATGGCCAGTTCCTGTGTGTTTAGTCAGACCACGGGGGCAGGAACAGGACAGGACAGGTGGTCTGCACCATTCATCCCACAGGGCAAAGACAGTGAAGATCAGGGACTAGAGAGCAAAGGCTACAAATGCCGACTTCCTCTTACGTAGGGTTTTGTCTTGCATCTAAGAAAAGGTTGCACAACAGACATTTCAGGCTTTCTGCTTGTTTTTTCCTTTTTTGGTACTGGAGATCGAACTCATGACCTTGCGCTTGCTAGGCAGGCGCTTATGCCACTGAGCTAGATCTCCAGCACGTGCCTGTGTTCTTCTAGGGGTTTGCTTTTTAGCTTTTATGTGTAAGCCTACAATCTGTCACAAATTAAACCTGACACATATGAGGAAGGCATTTGTATAATATAGCAGATTGTTTCGGGGAGCATATTGAGAAAAGCGTTTCCCACGGAGAGATGCCTTCCTGCCACTGTCAAAAGTCCAAGATAGCCAGTGTTCATAGTTCTATTTGTGGGCTACCTAGGGCCACACAGATCTGTGTCCCTGTATCGCAACCCCATACCAGCCTGATTACTGTGGTTTTGGACCTGATTATTGTGGTTTTGGATTACTGTGGTTTTGTCTTGAAGACATAGAGCAGGACCCCTTCAGATTTATTATTTCTTGAAGGCATTTTGGCTGTTCTGAGTCATTTGAGATGAACATCTTCTAACCCCACCCGCCAAAGCAAAGGTCTGCTGGACTCGGGTAAGACTGAGTTTCATCACTTACAAAGGGAGATGGGCAAAAATTTTGTAATTAAGAAGAGAGGTTGAAGGGGGGGGGTGTAAGGGAATGGAGGAAAAATAAAGAATCAAGGTATGTCAGGTGCAGGCACAAATTCCCTATGATATGCTCACTGTGTTCCTAAAATGTACCAATAAACTAAATTAAAAGAGACAGAGAAAATGGAATTTCCTGGCCAGGCATAAGGGTGCATCGGGAAGGCTGAGGCACAGTAAGTTCAAAACCAGCCTGGACTACACAGCAAGACCCCATCTCGACCACCCCTCCCAACAGAGCTAAACCTATTCAGCATCCCTGGGATGAAACTTACTTAGCCTACATGTTTATATAAGGACATTCTGTAGGACCTGACTTGCTAAAACTGCTATCTTTACATTCATGAGTCAATGCTGTGGTTTTCTTGGAATGTCTGGTTTGGGGATCAGGACACAGCCTGAGTCATGTTCTTTCCTCTTGTTTTCTGGGAGAAGTTGTACAGAATTGGTATTATTTCTTCATTTAAAATGTGGTAATGTTTTCCACTGAAGTTATCTATGTCTCTCTTTTTTCTTTGCAAGACTGCAAATCAGTTTCTTTTGTAGACAGGTCCTTTGGTTTTCTATTTCTTCTTTTTATTTTGGTACCGGGGATCGAACTTCCAACCTCACGCTTGCCAGGCAGCTGCTTACACCACTGAGTAACCCCCGCCCCAGCCCTTCTATTTCTTCCTGAGTGAACTGAGATCATTTTTATTTTCCAAGGAATTCCCATTCATTTGTCAAATGCGTAAAATTTTCAGGCAATTGCATGCCTGGCCCAGTAGCGGTAAAGCTGCAGTGACACTCTTTCTCTGGGCGGTAAAATCTTTGTCTTAACTCTTTTTTTCCTCTAGAAAGAGGTACATGAATTTCCTTGTGGTTCTAAAAGCATTTGGATTTAATGAGCAGTATTATTTATCTGTCTCCAGTGCCATTTGCTTCTGTCCCACCTTTGCTATTTGTCTTACAATTTTATTTCTAGTTTCTTAAAGAGGAAACAGAAGTCTCAAGATCTTTTTATGCCTCACATAAACATTTAGTACTACAAAAAATAAAAGCCTGTAGTGCTATATATTTCCAAATACTAATTTAGTTTTATCGCAAAATATAACACTAAAATGAATGGTATTTCTATAAACCAGCAACGAACAAGTATAAACCAAAATCAGAAAAACACCATTTACTATTACCAAGAAAATAAATACTAAACAAAATGTGTACAGGGTATGTAACAGCAGAACTATACAGTGCCACATGTGAGCTGCACCAAGGGGAGCAATGCTGTGCTCCTGGGTAGTGGACCCACAGCTGGGGGCACAAATGTGTGTTCTCCCCCAGACAGCAGTGGAGCCTGTGCTGTTCTAGGCAAAGGTTAAGCAGGACTTTTATACAAACTGATTCTAAAATGTGTATATCTACATATAATTAAGGGAATCACCAAAATAATTTTCTTAAAAGAAAACTAAAGCTGGAGGAATCATATTATCAAGTTTCAAGGCTTCGCACAAAGTGCAGTTAATCTCGACTGCATAGTACTGGAAAAGGGGACACACAGAGTAACAGGGAACGCTAAGTCCAAAAATAGCTCTGGGTCAATATGACTCACTGGTTGATTCTCCACGAAGATTCCAGAGAGATTCGGCACAGAAAGAATCCAACACAGGGTACTGGGACAACTGGACACCCACCCATAAACTCCCACATACAAACAAAAAGCAACCCTCACACGCTTAAAAAAAGTTAGCATGATTATTTATGTAAAATAGTAAGACGCTTATAAGACCTAGAAGAGGGGGCTGGGGATTTAGCTCAGCGGCGTAAGCACCTGCCTCACAAGCAGGCGGTCGTGAGTTCGATCCCCGGTACCAATAAAAATGAAAAAAAAAAAAGACCTAGAAGAAAATCTTTGGGACCTGAAGCCTGGCAGAGTTCTCAGGATGACCTCAAAGAAGCGTAAAACATTAAGTGTGAAGAACCAGACTCACCAATCAGGGTTTCTGCTGTGACTTGAACTGTAATGAGAAAACGTAGACTGAGAAAATGCAGTATACAAGGTTTCTTACTTCTGTTTTCGTCTTTTTGAGACAAGGTTTCACTATACAGGCTCGTCTTTTTGAGACAAGGTTTCACTATGTAGGCTGGCCTCGAAGCAATTCTCCGCCTCAGCCTCCTGAGTGTTAGGGTTACAAGACATGCACCACCATGCCCGACATACAAGGATTCTTAAACTTAACAATAAGAATATAATCCAATTTAAACATACAAAGAAGATTGAAGAGACCCTGCACCAAAAAAGATATACAGTTGGCAGATGAGGAAGTAAAGATATTCACAGCCACCACCAAGGTCACAGTGATCTAAGCCTTGTTGTGCTTGGTCTACGAGGAGGCACAGCCAGGGTCACCTGTGTAGAGCGACTGATGTCCCGAGGGTCACCACTGAGGAGCTTCCAAGAAGGGACATTTCCATGGTGTGGTTTTAGGCAGAAGAGCACTCTCCAGCTGGCTGATCTGAGTTCCAGTCCACAGACACAGGTGGCCATCGAGGTGCACTGCGCTGCGGGAAGCCTGGCTCCTGCATGGCCCTCTGCTTCCTTCAGAAAGTACTCTCTATTTTGAAGCACTCTTACATTTAGCCTTTCTTTTATCCTAACTCCGACCAGCAAACTTCCTGCACAGGTTTGAGGAGTGAATACTTTTAAATTCGCAGGCTGCAAAGCCTGAGCTGCATAATGGAACTCCTCCCCAGAGCAGAGTGGTAGGAAACGCTGGGCCTCTCCTTAAGTACAGCACCCATTCAGGCAACCGGTGGCTGTGGGCTCTCCACATGGGAGATCCACGGCTTCAAGCTCTGCACAAGCTGGACAGGGTGGGGTGGGGTGCCTTCCTAGAGACCTCAAATTCCACTGCTGCCAGACAGGCACAGAGTCTGAGGGCCTCAGTAGCAGAAAGGGGCTGAGCAAGGTCTTATCCAACACACACGCTCTCTCCCCAGGAGCAGCCTTCTTTGCCCTGTGGTGACAGAAAGTGACCAAGGGACACCGCAGCTCGACGCCATGCTTCCACCCTGCCCTTCACAATACCCACAGTGGTGGAAAGAATATGCTTTATTAATCTACCTCTCAAACACCAAACACTAAAATCTGGCTGATCTGCATCACCTATTTACAGAGTGCTGCCTGCGGGCCGTTGGGCTGGACCGGCTTGTCCCAGTCCCCAGAGGCCCTGGCCTGCAGCAGGGATATCAGGCCCCACAGTGCAACAGTGAGTGCTCATACAGCGGCCAGGCAGAAGGTGAGGGCACACACAGCAAGGCTCAGACAGCCTCGAGTTGGCTCAGTACTTCCTCAGGCCGAGGGCCAGGCTGCCAGGGGCCCGTGTGCCCTGCAGCGGTGGGGAGTTCCAGACAGCAGAGCTGGTACGCTTGTGGTAGCGGGGCTTGCTTTTCTTGAAGATGTCCTCTAGGTCCAGCGGGAGGATGGTCCCAAAGAGCTCAGCAAGGTTTGGGGGGTGGTAGTACTGGTGCACAATGGCCTGGCTAAGTTGGACACCTGAGAGGACATGGTGGAGTCACTACCCTGGGTCTCTCCAGCCTCCCTGCCTCGGGCCTCTACACCCCACCCCTGTGGGCTGCCATCCCCTGCTCGCCATATTCCCACAGCTCCTGGGGCTGGGCTTCCGGCTGAACCTAGGGCCTCTTCTAATCACATGGCCCAGCTGGCTGTCCCCTCCAGTGACTTCACATGAAGGTCCCCAGACTGGGTTCAGAGGTGAAGTTCAGGCGGGAGCTGTCCTCTGTGGCATATGGCCTGAGCTGGTGGGCATCTATATCCTGTCCTGTCCCCAGCAAGGCATCCACACAGTGCCTGTAAGTGCCCCAGCCCTGCTATAGTGTTCACTCTGGCTGCTATGAGCTCCTAGCTCCTAGTGCTCTGCCTGCACCTGCCCGAGACCTCAGGTGCTTGTGTGGGCCCCAGATGGCAGCCCCACCTCTTCACTAAGTCTGGTCCTCCAGTGAGTGAAGTGGCCGCCCTGTGCTTGCCAATGAGTGTCTAGCCCTGGACAGAGAAGTCTGCACAGCCTTCGCAGCCATCTCACCACTTTCAGGGCCAGGGGGGTGACAGGGCAAGGAGCCACTCACCTCTGGCCCAGACCGGGATGGGCTTGCGCGGATGGGCCTCATCATCCGTGGAGTCATCGCTGTTCAGGTCCATCCCATAGTTACAGTAGCTGTCCACGTGGATCTTGGGGGGTCGCCTGTTCCCCTGTGGAGTCATCTGATAGGAGGTACAGGCTGGGGACTGGGAAAAATCAACAGGTGTCAGTTCCCTGCCCACATCCTGCAGGGCACTGCTGGGGGAGCCCGGTGCAAGTCACCAGCCCTTGAGGGGTCGAGGTCACTTCTGACAGTACAGTGTCAGACCGTAAGCTGCTCTGTCATTCCCAGGCCAGTACCAATTCAGTGTCAGGGAGCTAAGAGCTGGACATGTGCTTGCTCCTGAAATGACGCCCCAACCCGACCACCGTGAGCACTTCATCATGGAGGTGGGAGTTTGGCAGTACAGCAGAGAGAGACTCAGACCGCTGTCTCCAGGCACTAGGTAGACCAAAGAACAGTGACCTGGGACCCAGCTGCCCTGCTAAGGCACTGAATGGAGGCAGAGCTGTGGACAGCACACTGAAGCAAAACACCCACACTGCCAAACAGCACAGAGTCTGCACTCATTTAAAACCATGCTCGCACCCCATGGGGAACATGTATGCTTGTGTGCACACGGTATTATACATGTAAAAACTCCTCCGTGTGGTGAGCTCAGGAGTGGTTAAAAGATGAGTGGTTTCTTAATAAATTCTACTTTTTAAAACAGGAAAGAATCAGCGCGAGGGGGAGGTGTCTCTCCTGTCCTTGAGGTCCCAGGCATGTGCAGCTCCTCAGTCCGGCGCCCTCACCTGAATGTCCACAGTCACATTCAGAGCCTTGCTGGCCGTTGCTGCCTCCTTGGCTGCCTTCTCCTGCTCCTCCTGCAGCCGCTGCTCTGCCAGCCGCTGCTCCTCCTCCTGGGGTCCGGGTGACGAGGGCACCGTGTGTAAACCTCCCCCAGCCCCGCTCCACTGCCGCCCGAGTGTGAGGCAGCCCAGCCCTACCTTCTTCTTCTTCTCCTCCAGCTCCCATTGCAGCCGCAGGGCCTTCTCCCGCTCCTGCAGCTCCCTGAGGACCCAACCACAGCCTGTCAGGCCAGCAGGTGGAGCCCTGGCCCTATCCCCACCATGCCAGGGCAGCCAGGCCTAGAGGACACTAGGCCACACCAGCCTAGAGCCCACAGTGCATACCCATCTGAGGCCAGAGTGGGCACTGGAGCCCAGCTCCTGAGTCCACAGCATGCGGCCCAGCTCACCTGGGTCTTGGACCCCATTCGGGAGTGGAGGCCACTGGTGACCTCCCACCAGCACTGTCACTAAACTCATAGGAGGAGACAGCTTTGTGGATCACGGGTGCCTCAAGGCTGCCTTGCCATGTCTCAGATCCCACCCTCCCAGGTACTCACAGGGGAGTGGCCCCTCCATCCCCACCACTCCTGTGTGCCCTGTCCAAGGGTCTCTAGCTGCGAGCCAAGAAAAAGTCTCCAGCCTTCGAGACTGGCCCAAGCTGTCCTGCCTGCATGGCATCACCTCTCAGCCTGTAGCCGCTCCTGCTCTCGCCGCCGCTCCTGCTCACGCTGCTCTGCTAGGCGCCGTGCCTCAGCCACCTTGCGTAGCCGCTCCTGCTCTTCCTCCTTCTTCCGCTGCAGCAGCTCCTGATGGCGCCGTTCCTCCTCCTCCTGGGACAACCAGAGGCAGGGTCAGGCGCTCTGGGTAGCCACGGGAGACTGAGCCCAGGCAGCCCCACAGCCAGTTGCAGAGGCGCCTGCAATGCCTGGGGCAGGTGTGGCAACGGGGTGGGCCAAAAGCCCACACCCTTCACAAGTCACCACGCCCTCTGAGGCTAGGCTTTTCGGCACTCACTCTGGGCGGTCTTGAAGTTTCCCGGCTCACTGACACTGCACACATTCAGAACAGGGCCAGGCCCAGAGCAAATCCTAAGGCTCAGCAGGGAGCAACAGAACTTGCTCCCCACAGCAGGTAGCAGAAAACAGACACTACGGGAAAGGCAGCCCAGCTCCTCCAGGCAGTGCACAATATGGGTGTGCATGGTGCTCGAGACCGAGTCACGGAAACAGAGGCCAAGTACCCAGCCTGAGACAGCATAGCGGATGAATGGCGGGGTGGCGACGGGTGTTCTGGCTCCAGAAGCACATGGCCTTCCTCTCCCACTGCTGCCTACACAGGAGGGGACTGGGCCAGGCATGGTACCCACCCTAGCCCAAGCACCTGCCAAACCTCCAGGGGCCTGCAGCTACAAGTCCCAGCAGATCAACTGCTGCCCGCGCACCTGCTGCAACCAGCGGAGTCTCCGCGCCTCCTCCTCCTGCCGCCTGCGCGCCTCCACCTCCTCCATCTTCTTGGCCATTGCCTTCTTCTTGGCCTTCTCCTCTGCCTGCCGCTCCTCCTTGGCCTGCAGAGCCGCCTACATGTGGCCCCAGAGCAGCCTCACTCGGTCCCCACCTGATACCTGGAGGACCGTGGGACCCCACCAGCCCAGCCCCGGCCAGGCCGCACCTTCTCTGTCTTCTCCTCCAGCTGTGCCAGCTTCTGCTCCATCTGCTTCTTCTTCTCCTCCTTCATCTGCTCCACCCGCTCACGTGCCTGCAGCACCTTACGATGGCGCTCCTCCCGCTTTCTGTGGGCACGGCTGTCAGTCAAAGACAGGCTAGGGACGGGACGGGGATAGGGGACAGAGGTCCGGGCAGGGCACTTACAGCTTCTCCTCCTCCCGGCGCCGCCGTTTCTCCTCCTCCACCTTTTGCTTGCGCAGCTGCTCAGCCTCCTCCTTCCGCCGCAGGTTCTCCAAGCGCTGCCGCTCCTTCTCCTGGACACGAGCGGGACAAACCCTGACCTCGCAGGCCACCCCGCGTGGGCACGAGCACAGAGACGCCCTGGCCTCCTAGCAGAGTGTGCGCGTGGCCAGGGGTCCCAGCTCTCCACTGAGCCCCTCACACCCCACGCAGCACAGAAGCCAGGCTCCAAGCTGTGTGCCCAGTGAAGAGCAGACCAGGGAACAGTGAGGCACAAGCAGGCACGTGATCACACCACACAGCCGCATGCTGCCACATCCCTGGCTCCTCCACGTTCGCCAGCTATTTCACAGTAGTGGAAGGAGACAATACATTGTTTCTCACTACTGCAGGCGAGGCAGACAGACAAGGATGGCATCTTCCCTCTTCCCATACTCCCTGTGATCTGGCCACACCAACACGCAGAAGGAGACCCACAGAAAGGACCGGCGGGCCGTGTGGCACAGTAATGATGCAGGTCCCTCCCAGGTAGACCTTTAAAGGCCAAGCAGCAGTGACAATGGCCACAGCCAGGCCCCACCTCCCAGCCAAGGCCAAGATGGTATATCAGTGCCAAGATGCCTCGCTCCGCAGCCCCCTGCCTCTGGCCATCCTTTCCTCTCCTCCTCTCCTGGCCTTCCCTCCTATTAAGGCCCAGGGCAAAGCGTCCCAGCTGGGGGACAGAAAAGAGGAACCCCAGAAAACCAGAAAGCCCAGTGGTGGCAGGAGAGGGTATTGGGGGCTCCCTCTGAGCCCCCGGGGCTCTGCCTCAGACCTGGAACACTACACAGATGCCTCAGACTTGCACTCCCAGACTGACTGCCAAAGGCACATTTGGGACAGAGCCTTACACCCTGCCAAGGACCCTGAGCCCGAATCCAACCAGGTCACTGCCACCCAGCCCAATGGTGACAACCCCGATACCTGCAATGGAGGGAACCAGGCCCAGCCTAACACTGAGCCCGCAAAGATACGCTCCCCAGTCACTCTACACATCAAGAATCACAACCCTCAACTTGCAAGGAAAAGATAGGGAATAGCTGCAGCAGGACTCATTTGAGGGACCTCAGAGCAGCGATTACAGAAATGCTTTGCTGCTCTGCACAAACATGCCTGGGACAACAGAAAAAAAGGGGAGACCTCAGTCAAGAAACAGATGTAAATAACCAGATAGGAACCATGCAGAAAATGACAAGCCCAGCAGGGGGCGAGGCCCCAGAGCACTGCAGAACGAGATCATGAAGACAGAGTCTCACGGCAGAGGGGCAAACTCAAAACAGCGAGAAGAAACTGCTACAGCAGGCTACCAGCACCCTAGTGCCCTGGAGCCGGGTGCCAGCACCCAAAGCTCCCTGTCTTCTCATCAGCACCCTGCACAGAGGGGAGGACAATGAGTATTCAGATAGCTGGAGGAAAGAAGGCTGGTAAGGTCAAGTTCGGGGACAGCCATGGCCCCAGCCCTGGCCCCAGAATTGAGGCCAGCAAGCCCCAGATGGATGTGAGGCTGGAGCAATCCACAGGGAGAGCTCAGGACAGAGGTGAGACCCTAGCTGCACCAGGGACAATGCCGGGATGGAGGAGGATTCCTCACCAGGACACTGTACTGTGCGGAAGCAAGGGCCGGCCACACGCAGAAGGGCATGGGGAGGAGGCGCGCAGGACACCTGACTACAGGGAAGGGCGACACAGCACAGAGACAGCTGGGCGGACACAGCGTGTTTCCTGCTAAGCTTCCCCACAGTGCAGAGCTGGAAGCAGAACATGAACCATGTTCTGCGCAGCCAACCAGGGGCATCGGTCAGATGACCCCACACACCCGAGGAGGGCCAGGTGCATCACAGGCACTGTGTGCAGAAAGCAGCCTCCATGGGCCCACTCCACGACAAGCCTGGACTGGACCCATGGCCCCAGCGAACAGTGGCACCCTGGTGAGCAGCCTCCACAGCAGGTGCCCAGGTGCCCCCAAATCCCCATAATGCTTCCCCTGCGATAAATGCTCTGAAGAGCTGGCATTAGGCAGGCAGGGCAACAGATTAGAGGAAGAAGGGGAAAAAGCTCTACTCACGACAAAGCTGGACTGTGGAGAGGAGGAGACAGGAGAACCTCAAATCAATGCCAGGCGGGGACAGCCCCCAGGACAGACCCTTTCTCTTCCCCACATCCCATGCAAAGGAATTGGCCTTGCACTCCCGCTCTGGACCCATAGGGCCAGCTAGACCTCGGGGTCACAGCCCAGGTCCCTGACACAGAGGGAGCTCGACCAGATCGGGCTGCACCCACCTCAGCTAGACCCACACTGCCCTTGGCAGTCTGGGGCGCCCCTCACCTTGGGGTCCACACGCAGTGGGGTGTTGCGCTTTATGAAAGACTTCATGACAGCACTGTGGGACGTGGTACTCGGTGTCATGAGCAGCTGGTTCCTCTGCACTGTGTGCAAGAAGGTCCGTAGTGGCCGTACCACCTGTGGGGACCAGGACAGTCAGCATGGATGGCAGGATGGCAGACAGGGCCAGCGGGCAGCACCTGCTCACCTTGCTGGCCGGGCAGGGTGGGGAGGGTGTCCTGTTCCTGGGCAGCTGCAGCTCCTCGTCCACTAGAGATGGTTCCTCATCCTGCTCGCTCATCGCCTGCTTGTAGCTGCGCTTCCTCCTGTCCAGCCAGGGGCTGTGTCAGGGACCATGGGAGCCTCCACACGAGGTCACAAGCCCAGGAGGGACAGCAGAGCCAGGGTCCCCCACTATTCCCCATTGCCCACTCCGAAGAAGGGAAGCAACCAGATTGCAGAGTCAGAACAGGGAGGGACAGGGCTCGGACCCATCCCTCAGCCCAGTCCCTGCCGGGGCCCAGGTACAAACCTGACGCTCTGGGGTGGCTCCTGGTATCCTTTGGCTTCATCAGCCACAGACCCTGATGAGACAGTGATGGCAGTGAGGCTCAAGAAGGGCAGTCACAGCCTCGCGGGGCCCCAAGGAGCTGGCAGGGGGCAGAGAAGTTCACACACAGCTGCCAACTGCCACACTGCAGGGTCAGAGCTCTGCTCCTCCTGCGGCCGCCCTGCAGGCAGTGGGTCATGGCGACCAATGTCCCCAGCCCAGAGTCCACGGCTCTCCTGCCCAACCCAGACACAGCGAAGGCCAGAACAAGTCCATAGAGGTAGAGCAAGGGGTGGGACGGACTGGGTCCCCATAGTCACAGCTAAGTCAGGCCCTGCCCCAGCCTCCAGGACGCCCACAGTGCCCGAAGAAGCTGCAGCCCAAGACCCACTGTGCATTGGGGTCCATTTCTCTTTGGGCTTCTGCTCAGAGGACAGGAAGGCCAAGGACAGCAGCTGGCCCACATGTGACAGGGCAGGGACCCACCTTGCTGCCCTTTGGGGGGCATCTCCTGGCCACCAGGAGCAGGCTGTGTATCAGGCATGTGAATGGCGGTCTCAGTGGCACTGTGGGGCAACAAGGTGTCCTCACTGCTCTCAGGGACCTGTGAGAAGAGCCATGGCATAGGGCTCAGCTAGACCTGGGGTCCCCTGGCTGGGGTGTGTCATGGAAGTCCAGCCCACGTCCCTCCCTGGCCACCTCACCTCAGGCTCAGCCACTGCCGCCAAGGGCTCCACCTCCCTGCTGAGCTCCTTCTGCTTGGGGCTGTAAGCACAGTATGCACTGTGGGAGCCTGCCGGGCTGAGCCTCAGCTCTGACCCTCCATCCCCAGGCTATTTGTACATGGTAGAGGCTGCTTGCCTATGTGCCAGGTTTGTGGCACAGCGAGGGTGCCCTCAGAGTGGGGGTGTCTTGGCTACTTCCCCTATTCCTCCTTGCAGCCCACCTGTGAGGGGGGAGGTCTCCTCCCCCTGCCCCTGCTGTGATGTATCCCACAGGGCCAAAGAGAGGGCCCAACCGCCCATGAACTGAAACCTCTAATATCATGAGCCAGCATAACCCCTTGCCCTCCCCAGGTGATACATCTTGGGCACCCAGCATATGTGACAGAGAGCTGCCCAGCAAGGCCTGGCCCCAGCTATAATCAGCCCAGTAACTCCCTGCAAAGACCAGGTCACCCTACTTCTGCATCCCACAGCAAGAGCAGAAAGGGAGGGCTGGGGATTTAGCTCAGCGGCATAAGCGCCTGCCTTGCAAGCAGGCAGTCGTAAGTTCGATCCCTGGTACTGATAAAAAAGAAAAGACAAAAAAAAAAAAAAAGAGCAGAAAGGAAGGAGTTACTTCAGTGACAGCAGGATGTGGCCTCCAGAAAAGGAGTCAGCCTCCGGGTCCCACACAGGGATACCCCAGTGCCAGGCTCCCCCCAAACCTAATGGGCAGGGCAGGCACCCTCCAAGCCACTTGTCCTCATCCACGCCCCAAAGATTCCATCCCAGTGTGACCCTGCTGGACGGGGAGTGAGAGGCTCCCTTCAGGTGCACACCCTGACTCCCTGCCCTGCTTGGCCCCTGGGGACCCAGGCCTGGATGAAACTCACCCAACTCTCTGGGGCACCTCGACATTCAGGAGCCTCTCCAGGTAACTGTGACCTGAAGGAAGCAGGGCAGAAGACACCGTTAGAAACTGCAGGACTCTGTCCTGGAGGTCCAGGGAGTTGGTGTCCACAGGGGACAGATAAGAGGGTGGCAGAGTCCCGGGAATGGGCAATATTCCACCAAGCTCTGGGCCCTGCGCCCAGCAGAGCCCAGCTCCAGCCACTTAAGCAGTGCCGACTATATACTAGACTCCAGACCAGGGCTGGGACCCAACAGCAACCAGATCTGATGAGACCTGCGACGCGTATGGTCTATAGGATCTATAGTACCCACGAAGCTGGAACCTGTGCTGGGACAGATGGGACAGGAGGTGCGGGGGTGTAGACAACAGAGGAAGAGATGGCAGCAGTGGGGACCTGAGGTCTGAGCTTATGCTACGCTTGCAGGAGACCCATCACTGGCTGTTCCCACCAGGCCAGCACCAGCCTGAAGCATGGCCAACTGGCTCACCTGCCCCCCCACACTCACAGCAGCGCTGTCCGCTCCACGCAGGACTTCCTGGAGAAAGTGCATCACCCTGACCCTGAGCTATCCCTTATGAAATGTGAGGCCCCAAGCTGCAGGCCCAGGCCTCAGGGAAAGTGCAGGCCCTGTGGGCACTGCTCTGCACAGACCACCTCTCATGCCATGTGTGCTGTGGCTCGCATCTCTGAGGTCAGTGTGTCCAAGGTTTGGGAGGGGTGGGGCCTCACCACAGGAGGGGGACCTGAGGGAACCAGAGTCCCTCGACCCATTTCTCCTTCCCTTTTTCTAGCATACGCTCCCACCATGAGGTGCTGCCTGCCACATAGCCCAGAGCAATGTACCGAAACCCCTAGAACCATAAGCCAAAGAAGCTCTCTTCTCAGTAACAGGATCAGATCTTGTATCAGAGCCACAGAAAACTATCACCCGGCTCAATCTTGGGTATCTGAAAGACATCCTTAAGCATGACTGGAGCCTGTCATTTAGAACTACAGTTGATGAGAATAATTTAAAAAACCAACCCAAAAGGCTCAAAAGTAGAATTCTGAAGAACATATACTTGTCATCAGAAGCATCAGTCTCCTGACATCTACAGACATCTCTAACAGCATCAGAAAACAACTATGGCTCACCCAGTATGGCACGGGCATCATGAAGGAGGGTGGTTGAGACCCAATGGTCACACACGGTGCGAGTCACATACAGTGCAAGAGTGCTGGAAAGGGGAGGGGAGGACTGTACCCTCACAGCCTCAGATTCCAGCAGGACCTCCAGATGGACAGTCCTGTGCAGGGTGCACTATGGAGGACGCGTGCAGCTCCAGGAAAGGCTATGAGGCCCCTGATCCTGCTTGATGAAGCCAGCTCTGCCTCCTACGCCTGTGCAGAGCACACACCAAGTCCACTGTCTGCTCCACAATCCTGCTTTGGAAGTGGCTTCTCCATTATAAACAGCTTAGCCACAGAGACAAGGAAGAGGGCTCAGGGGACCCAAGGCTTCGGGTAGAAGTAAGAATAGGCAAGAAGCTAGGACAGCAAAGTACCAAGGTGCAGAGAGAACAGGAAGGAAGTGAACAGGCTCCACCCGGGCTCTGGCTCCTTGTGCCTCCCTACCGCACTCCCACACTCTGGTAGGGGTACAGGGGACAGGAGGAGGCCATGGGACTTCCACCAGCACTGGCACCTTGTGGACACCAAGGGTTCCGGCTCCCATGCCAGTCTCAGAGTGAAGGGACAGGGAGGTCTGCCCCCAGGGCAGGGCATGGGGGCCACCAAGGGTGACCAGGCGTCTGCCCTCTTCCATCCCAAGGCACACAGGCTCCGTCACCTGCCTACCAACTCTGTGGCCACTCCCAAGGGAGGAAGGGGCCGAGGGAAGAGCATAGGAACTGCGGGCCTAACAGGTGCAGTGGCACACACCTGTCATCCCAGCACTCGCAGACTGAGACAGGAGGGCTGCAAGGTCAAGCCCAACCCAAGCAATTTAGCAACTCACTATACCTCATCTCAAATAGGGGGAATTCGGAGGCACGGCTTGGTTGCAAAGGCCTGGGGGCTGTGCCCTGGAGACCCTTCACTTCCCAGGACCAGGTTGGGCCAGACAAAACACCCCCAGGGAAATGTGAAGAGCGGCCTGCCTCAGCCTTTTGAAAACCCAAAGCAGACAATGCTCCAGGCTGTGTGCTTCCCATGGTCCCTGTGGTATTCCCTAGACCATGTGACCCAGCAGGGTGGGAGGACATGGTCACAGCAAGTTATCTCCAGCCCTCAAGCACCTGCCATTCTAGACATCACTGAATGGGGCACAGATCCTGGCTTTCTTGCCGAAGCCACTCCCCTGGCCCAGAGCCCATTCTAAGAGGGAGTCCCAGCAAGAGGATAGAGCCAGTCGGGTGTGGTGGCACACTCCTGTAATCCCTGCACTTGGGAGGCTGAGGCAGGAGAATTGTTTGCAAATTTGAGACCAGCCTGGGCCACAAAGTGAGCTCAAGGCCAGCCTGAACTGCATAATGAGATCCTGTCTCAAAAAGAGGACAGAGCATCTACAAGGCAAAAAACACAGCCTTTGTGTCTTTGTTTCAAGAAACTTACACCTGACTTCCAGGAAGATGGTGGAGAAGTAGGAGAAAAAACAGCCTCACTGAGACACCATCTAGACGTGGTAATATACCATGATGGGGAAGACAAGAAGGAAGGAAGGAGATCCCCCGGAGCCAGGAAGAGTCTGAAGGCTGAACTGAAACCCACAGAGACAGTAAAAAGAAAAACTTCAACGAAGAAGAGGCGGCAGCTGGGGCACCTTCACCCAGAGGCGGACCCACTGTGTGAGGGGAGCTGCTGGAACCTGGGGACGCGCGGTCACAGTGACAGTGGCAGCTGGCAACCCTAGAGATCTCTGCCAAGACTCAGTGGTGGAGGGGAGCAGCAGACCTGGAGGACTACGCTGGCTGGCGATGAGAGCAGAGAGCTCGGTCCTCTTGCAGGATGGAGCAATGGGCCAGGAGCCACTTTAGAGTGGGGCAGGATTAAGCCTAGAACCCAGAACTGTGGCTGGCTTACCCAGCAGCTCCTAGCTGGGCGCAGTCCCGAGGAAAACTACCTGTACTGCAGGAGCCCAGAGGGCCTGTACTGGGTCAGCCCTGCTAAGGCCGTCTGCTGCTCTGTCAGAGAGCATGCGGGGATACAGGGGCACGATTCAGGGTGCTGTCTCCACAGGCTGTCCACTAGTGAACCCAGAGACAATCCTGGATAATGACTATTTTGTTGTTTTTGTCTTCTTTTCTTATTTGTTTTATTCAGTTTGTTTTTTATCTCTTTTATTGTTTTTTTGGGGTTTTTTTTCCGAGTATGAGTGTGGTTCCTAACCTCCTTGTGGGTGGGGTTTTGCTCTGTTCTACCTTTTATGTCTTCCAGTTCTCTTTTCCTTCAGTCTTCTGCATTAGTTTCCTCAAGGGATCTATCTTTGTCCCCCAACCTAATTGTTTACTATCTTTTTTTTTTTTTTTTTAAATCGGTACCGGGGATTGAACTCACGACTGCCAGCTTCAAGGCAGGCCCTTATGCTGCTGAGCTAAATCCCCAGCCCCTCCCCAACCTACTTGTAATCTCATTCTCTTTTCCTACTTCTGTTTCCTCCTTAATCCATTTGAATCTTAACCGTTGAGGACAGAATTGACATATTATGGACTTATATATTGTATATAATTGTTTTGCATTGTTACATGGTCACAAACTCAGTTCATATGGTTAAAAGTTGCTAATCCCAGTTGCTAACACGTATCACTCCAGGAATTAAACTAAAAAAGAAATGAGAGAGGTGGGTGTGGCAGCTCATGCCTGTAATCCCAGCACTCCGGAGGCTGAGGCAGGAGGATTGTTGTGAGTTTGAGACCAGCCTGGGCTACAAAGTAAGCTCAAGGCCAGCCTGAACAGCATAGTGAGACCCTGTCTCAAAAAGACAAAAAGACAAAAAAGAAAGGAAAAAGAAAAGAAATGAGAAAGACTTAAACAAGATACAACCTCAGACACCCAGTTCACCAAATGTAAACCCAGGGGGCAATGAGGCTGGAAAATCTGAAAAGCCCCCTAACAGGGTTCTCTGAAGTGGTAACAAAGCAATTGAATGAGGCTCTGGAAAAATGAAATCAGAAATAATCTCTCAGATAACTACAGAGATTACCAAAATACATACCATGCTTAGTGATATTAGAGCACAGACAAAAAAAATAGATGAGCTTAAGCAAATTATGGAAGCACAACATAGGAAACAAATGGAAGCCATAAAGCAGATTCAAGGAGATACCCAGGAGGATAAAAACTCCACCGAGAGTATTTGAAGAAGATTAGGCCAATGTGAGGATAGGATCTCAGATATTAAAGACAGGATTGCAGTTAGTGTCCAGGAAAAGAAAGATTTCTCAAAATTAGCAAGGGAACATGAGAAATCAATCCAGCAGCTACTAGATGGACACACAAGAATAACTTAAGAGAAGCAGCATGAGTAAGCTATGGGCATGCCACAGAGAGAACAAGCCAGTGTCTCCCGAGAATCAGCCATGCTGGAACTTGGGGGACTGACCAAGAAAGCAACGAGCCAGCCTTTCCTGGTAAGTGGTGTGAGCCGTGGGCGCTCCGGGGAGAGAACAAGTCAGTGTCTCCCATGAGCCTACCAGTGACAGCGTGCGGGCTGAGAATCAAACATCCCATGTATCCCTTCCCCCCTTAACTAGATGGTTTCGAGATCAGCTGGAGTTGATAGCAACTAAGGTACATAAAGCAACGAAATGCTTGTATTGCTGGGTTGATTATGCGGACCTGGGACCAGAGGTCTGAGCATCTCTTGGGAGGATGACAGTATGCGATATAGCAAATAAGGGGGATTTCCTTCTATCTTGTCTTTGAAGGCCAATATTGTTTTCACTGCTTTGCTTTGTTCTGATTAATTCTTTTGACTATTCAATATACTATTTTGAGTGGTTTTATAGTGTTCTGTTTTTGGTTTGACTTTGCTATACCTGATTGAATAGACAACTACTGTAAAAATAATGAGATACACTATGGCAACTATTATTGTTATCCAGGTATCCTGTTCTGAAGTTCTGTATCAATTTCACTGCATTGTCTTGATTGGCTTTGTTCTGTCTTGTTTTGCTGTATATTACTGTCTTTAAAATAAAATTAAAAAATAAAAATAAATGTTAAGAAGAATAACTTAAGATTAACTGGAGTCGATGAACAAGCAGGAGATACCACAAATGACATTTAAAAAAAGTTCAGATATAATGACAGGAAACTTGCCTGGTAGAGAAAAAAGAATCTGACATACAGATAAATGAAGCAAATACAACTCTAATTAGCAATGATCAAAAAAATCTACAGCCAGGTATATCATAGTCAGGATTCCAGAAATTCAAGAATAGAATCCTAAAAGTTGTTAGAGAAAAGAAACAAATCAACTATAAAGGAAAGTCCATCAGAACTGCAGCTGACTTCTCAGCACAAACTCTCAAGTTAAGGAGAGTATGGAGTGAAGTACTCCGAGGAAAACAATGGAGACTCATATGCCCTACAAAACTTTCTTTTAAAATTGAAGGAGAAATAAATAAGATACTTCCAGAACAAAGAACATCTGAGGAAATTTATGACCACCAAACCAGCACTCCAAAATGTTTTGAAGGACATTCTAGAAAAAGATAATAAGGACTACAGCTCCATGAACCCCAACAGAAGGAATCCACCAGAGAAGGGAAACAATTAGAGGGTAAGGAAAGAAGAGGGGAGCCGACCACAGGAAAATAACACGCAAGGATAAGTCAATACATATCAGTTATAACCATCAATGTTAATGGCCCCAATTCACCAGTCAAAAGATACAGATTTGCAGAATGGATCAAGAAGCAAGACCCCACAATATATTGTATATACAAGAAACAGTTAATTAAAAAAGAAATTCATAGACTGAAAGTCAAAGGTTGGAAAACTATACTTCATGGAACAGAAACTCAGAAAATAGCAGGGGTAGCTATTCTACTTGTAGACAAACTGAATTTGAAGACAAGACTGATGGCCCAGGGTTTAGCTCAGTGGTATAAGCACCTGCCTGGCAAATGTTAGCTCCTGAGTTCAATCCCCAGTACCAAAAAAAAAGACAAGACTGATAAAGACAGATAAAGAAGGTCACTACATCCTGGTAAAGGGAACAATCCAAGATGAGAAGATAACAATCATAAATATATATGCAACAAATATCAGTGTACCTAGTTATATAAAACAATTATTAACAGACATGAAAAATGAAATAAACCTTAATATAATTGTATTGGGAGACCTCAATACTCCACTGTCACAAAAAGACAGATCAACTAGACAAAAAAATCAATAATGAAATATTAGAACTAAATCAATTTTGAGCAAGTGGTCGTAGTAGATGTCTATAGAGTGTTCCACCCCACAACATCAGAATACATATTCTTCTCAGCTGTACATAGGACATTCTCCAAAACAGACCATATACTGGCTCACAGAACATGCTTAAGTAAATATAAAGGAATTGAAATTATCCCATACATACGATCAGACCACAGTGCAATGAAACTGGAAATTCATGCCAAAGGAAACCACAAGAACTTCATAAATACAGGGAAGTTAAATAGCACCCTACTGAACAACCAATGTGTCACAGATGAAATTAAAGAAGAAATTAGTCTTAACAGTTGAAGGTAATGACAATATAACACACCGGAACTTGTGGGATACAATGAAAGCAGTCTTAAGAGTGAAATTTATAGCAGTAAATATATCAGGAAAACAGAGCAAGCACATGTAAACAACTTAATGTTAAATTCAAACTTCTAGAAAAAGAAGAGCAGGCTAAACCAAAAACTTGCACAAAGGAGGAAATTATAAGGATCAAAGCAAAAATTAACACACTAGAGACTAAAAAAAATACAAAGAATCAATGAATTGAACAGTTGGTTCTTTGAAAGATTAAATAAAATTGACAAATCCCAGCCAACCTGATCAAAAAAAGGAAAGAAAACACTCAAATCCATGTAATTAGGGATGAAAAGGGTGAAATCACAACAGATCCTGTAGAAATCTAGAAAATTATCTATACTTACTTTGAAAACTTGTATTCTAATAAGATGGAAAATACAGAAGAAATGGACAGATTTCTAGATACACATGAATTACCAAAGCTGAGCCAGGAAGATACAAAAATCCTACATAACTCTACCAATAAATGAAATTAAAGATGTAATTAAAAATCTCTCAACAAAGAAAAGGCCTTGATGGATTCACTGCTGAATTCTACAAGAAATGTAGTGAACACCTAACACCATTAATCCTCAAGCTCTTTAATTAAATTGAAAGGAAAGCAATACTCCCAAACTCATTCCTAGAAGCAACCACTACTCTGATTCTAAAACCAGAGAAGGACCCAACCAAGAAAAAGAATTATAGGCCAATCCCCCAAATGAACACTGATGCAAAAATCCTCAATACTGGCAAACAGACTACAGCAAATCGTCAAAAAGTTTGTACACTGTTACCAAGAGGGATTCATCCCAGAGATGTAAGGATGGTTCAATATATGTAAATCCATAAATGTAATATACCATATTAACAGAGTCAAAGACAAAAATCATGATTATCTCAAGAGATGCAGAAAAAGCTTTCAGCAAAGTCCAGCATCCATTCATGATAAAAAAAAACCCTATAAAAAATTAGAATAGATGGTCTTTACCTCAATCTGATACAAGCCATCTATGACAAACCAACAGCCAGCATCACACTAAATGGACAAAAACTGAAGGCTTTCACTCTAAAATCAGGAACAAGACAAGGATGTCCACTGTCTCTACTCTTACTCAATGCAGTTCTGGAAGCTTTAGCCACAGCAATTAGACAAGAGAATGAAATAAAAAGGAATAAAGATAGGAAAGAAGAAGATAACTATCATGATTTGCAGATGACATGATACTCTTCTTAGAAAACCCCAAAAACTCCACCAAAAGACTTGTAGATTTAATAAGCAAGTTGAGTAATGTAGCTGGTTACAAAATCAACACTCAAAAATCAATAGCCTCCCTGTATACAAATAACAAACTCACTTCGAGAGAAACCAGGGAAACAATACCTTTTACAATAGCATCCCCAAAAATGAAATACTTAGGAATCAATCTAATGAAGGATGTAAAAGATCTCTATATTGAAAACTATAGTACCCTGAAAAAGGAAATTAAAGAGGATATTAGAAAACAGAGAGATGTCCCATGTTTTCAGGTAGGAAGAACCAATACAGTGAAAATGGCCATACTTCCAAAACACTATACAGATTCAATGCAATCCCAATCAAAAGTCCAAGAGTGTATCTCACAGAATTAGAGAAAACAATCCTAAAATTCATCTGGAACCAGAAGAGACCTAGCATAGCAAAGGCAATCCAGAGCAACAAAGACAAGACAGGGGGCATCACAATCCCTGACTTGAAATTTACTATAAAGCTACTGTGATAAAAAACAAAAATAAAAATAGTGTGATACTGACCAAAAAAAAAAAAAAAAAAAAAAACCAGACTTGAAGATCAATGGAACAGATTAGAAGATACAGAAACAACTGCAGACACACTAAGCGACCTTGTCTTTGACAAAGGTGCCAAACACATTCATCACAAGAAAGATAGCCTCTTTAATAAATGGTGTTGGAAAAACTGGCTTTCCTCATGCTGAAGATTAGAACTGGACCTATGTTTTTCACCATGTACTAAGTTAAAATCAGAACGGATCAAATATTAAAACAGAAACATTAAATCTGCTGGAAGACAGAGTAGGTAAAACTCTTGAAGACATTGGTGTAAGCAAAGGCTTTATGAATAATTCCCAGATTGCACAGGACTTATCAAAAAGGATCAACAAATGGGATCCCATCCTACTGAAAAGCTTTTGCACAGCTAGAGAAACAACCAATAGAGTGAAGAGACAACCCACAATGTGGGAGAATGTTTGCCAGCTGTTCCTCAGGTAAAGGATTTTTACTGAGAACATTTAAAGAACTCAAAAAATCAGTCCTCCCAGATTTAAAGACGCAATCCAAAAATAGGCACCAGAAATGAACACACACATCTCAGATGAAGAAGTACAAACAGCAAATAAATACGTGAAAAAATGTTCAAACAGCACTGGTCATTCGAGCGATGCAAATTAAAACAACACTGAGATTTTATCTCACTCCAGAAAGAATGGCTATCATCAAGAAATCAACCAATAGGCTGGGGATTTAGCTCAGCAGCATAAGCACCTGCTTGGCAAGCGCAAGGTTGTAAGTTCGATCCCTGGTACTGCCAGCAGCACAGTGTGGGGTGGGGGTGCCACCCGGACATCTCAGTAGGGTGAGGTAAGGAGACCCCACTGCCAACCACAGACAGGAGTGAGGCCAGGGTAAGGTCTGGGGCAGGCAGTGCCGGGGTCACCTGCTCCCTAGCTCAAATCTGTCTGCCCCATGCTGATCCTACCACATCCCCAGACTGAGCCCAGCCTCCCCCAACTGCACACAGTGCTGAAACACAGCCAGGCAAAGTTGGGCTCCACAGCTCAGAGAAGGGGAGGAAAACCCTAGCTTCCCCAGAGAAAGCCGCCAAGTTCTCCAGGCCTCAATTTCCCATAAACTGTACATTTATCTTCCAGTATGGTGGCCACTGGTTCCTCCATCACACTGGTCACATCTTGGAGCCACAGCAACCATGCAGGACAGCACAGCTGGGAACACTCCATTGCCCACCAGCCCCCCAGAGCCTCCAACACCCTCTGCACCGCCCAGCCTCACTCACAGATGATGCGGCCGGAGGCAGCAGGCTCCGCAGCCACTTTCTTAGTGATCCTCTCATTCGACCTGTGGCTGGTGCCTTCCTGCTTGACCACTAGGGAGTACTTCTCAGCCGGCGTGTCTTTGGGGTCCGGGGCAATCAGGCTGCACCGCACAGGCCGGCAGCCTGCAGTTGTGGAGCAGTTCTCTGGCTGGATGGGAACTAACACCTGCTCCCGCCATGGAGAGTCTGGAGTCCCGGGCGAGTCCTGGGGGCCCCGGGAGCCCCGCGCGATCTTGAGCTTGCAAGCAGACCGCACTGGGCCTGTGCCTTGGCTACTGGGCCCCTGAGGGGTGGTCACCAAGGTGCTTGCTGCAGCGGACTCTGACCGCACAGCATCTGGCTTCTTTGGCACTGACTCTTCAACCAAGGCTGGGACACCCTGCACAGCTGCAGTTGGGTCTGGGGCTGGGTCTGGGGACAGGGTCTGGGATGGAACAGAGGTGGCCATGGTCTGGATGAGCTGCTGCTCGGCACAGTTACGCTCCCCACAGTTAATCTCTACCACCAGCTTCCTGCTGCAGTCTATGGGGGACCCCCGGGCAGGCAAAGGAGCTGCTGATGTTTTGGAGGTTGTGGCGGCAGCGGCGGCTGCAGCACGGGTCACCCTCCGCAGCACAGGGGAGCCCTGCTGTCCCAACGCCTCGGTCAGCTTCTCCACCCTGTCCTTGCCACGCAGGGGCTGGGAGCTCAGCCGGGAGCTCCTCCGGCTGCTCCGGATCTTTCTTCGGGATGACCTGCAAGGCACAACAGTAGCAGCTGTGAGCCCTACAGGGCAGGGAGCACCCAAAATTGAGCTGGGACACAGCAATCTCCCCAGGAGCCACCAGCCGGATGCAACGTGAATCACAGAGCTTGGAGGCAGAGGATCTGGGGCTGGTGCAAGGTCCACTGCCTCCCACTTCAAGACCCCAAAGCCTGGCTCTCCCTGTCACCCCTGGGAAGGTGAAGCCACACGAACCTCCCAGTGCCCGAGGTTGCAGTGCATCCAGCACCTGTGCAAACCTCACACCCATTCTCACATCACCTGCAAAGCAGACTGAGTGGTAAGCAGCAACTTCCCCACTTTGGGGAAGATGAAGCAGGTCATAGGGTGGGGAATTTAACCCAGGGACACACACCTGCTCAGAGCCACGGCTGGGGTCTTCACCAAGAGCACGTGATCCCATGGTGGCCACCACACCCGAGAGAAATCAGAGCGAGCCTAGCCCAGGTCAGCTTCTGTTTCTTTTCCTAGTTTAGAAGTCTCTCTTCCTCTAAGCCCAGAGCACACACACTCCCAATGCATGTGCGTGCACACACACACACACATAAGACTGCATGACTGATGCTTCCCAGCCCCTCTACCACCTCCTACCTCTTCCGGATGGGATCTCTGTTTTCATCCTGAACGTAAGAAACCCGTCTCTTCCTGCGGCGATTCTTCTGAGAAGGGGTTTTGGGCATCAGCTCAGGCTCTTTGCTGAATTCTCTGCGGCATGAGAAGGGCAGCAGATGAGGCTCCCACAACGCCAGCCTCGCCCCACAACCTGCCTTCCTCCCTCAAGTTGTAGCCCAGCTCCCAGCTTCCTCCTGGGGACATGGCCCCAGGAGGCCCCAGGCCAGGCAGTGATGATGCACAGCCTCTGAAGCCCCAGTGGCCATGAGAAGCCAGGCAAGGGCCCGACCTCCTGTCCCTGCTCCACAGGAGGCCAGCCTGGCTCACAGGGACTGAGAGAGGGAGCCCCAGGATTTCAGGGGGCAGAGGGCTATGGCTCCGGTCTCACCGGGTAAACATGCGCTCGGCCTCCTCCTGGATCTCCCGGAGCCACACCAGGTCCTTGTTGTCCATGTTGCACACGAAGTCCATGAGCTTCTGGTCACAGAGGTCCAGCAGGTGAATGGGCCTCAGGGCAGTCGTCGCCATGGTGGCTCTGTCTAATGATGGCAGGAAAATAAGGCATAGGGATTAGGGGAGATCCCAGGACCCTCCCTAGGGGAATAGCTGCTGAGCTGGGAGATAGAGGAAAGGACTCCTGTGAGTTAGGAATAAAAACACAGCTTCTCAACTGGAGTGTGCCTGTCATCACATAGACATCACTCTTACAAGGGTTTTGGATTCAAGTCCTCACTTTCACTACCTTGGGAGTTCCTTTTGGAGGGGAGGGGGGTCCTGGACAAATGAGATCATTTCTTACACCCCTGGCTATAATCTCAACCACCCACCTCAATTCTCTGTAGAGCACCGAGTGATATGTCTGTTTAGTGCCTCACTACCCACCAAACATTGTGAGCTCCAAAGGCAAGTGCTTGTCTGTCTTGCTCCGCACTGAAAGCCTGCAGCCCTGCAAAGACCTGACCCTGTTGAGTGAATAGGGCTCTCCCACTAGTTGATCCTGTGGGCAGCATCCTCATCATCACTATGCCCAGAGACAGCAAATGAACCCTCTGGGCACAGGTTAGGACAGGTTAGGATAGGGTGACACGCACCCACCACCCCTGGTTGCCAAAAGTGGCACTAGCAGGACAGGGCTAACAGGCAGAAGCTTGGGCTCCACGCAAAGGCCCAGCTCTGCAGCCCACATCCTCTGCACCTAGATCTCAGTCAGCCCTAGTAAAGTGCTCGGCCCTGGCTCAAAGCCAACAAGAAAAAAATTGTCCAGGGAAGCCACAGGTTTGCAGAGGGACTAAAGAGAGCAGCAATACCTGGGTAACTGTTTAATGTCTTTGTTCAAACGGCAAGGTGGATGAGCACTCTGCTCCAAAGAAGCATTCCAAAGAAGATTTGGGCTTCTTCCATAAGGAAGTGTAAGAGACCTTAGCCTGGCCATTGGAAAAATGGACACAGTAAGTTAGAACAGTGAGGGGGAAGGTGTGTCAAGATTCTGGCTCCGGGGATGCCAGGTGTGGTGGTGCACACCTGTAAACCCACTTTTAGGGAGGCTGAGGCAAGAGGATCGCTGCAAGCTAGTCAGCCTGGGCTACGTAGTGAGTTCAAGGCCATCCTGGACTACATAAGGAGACCGTCTCAAAAGAAACGCATCAGGCACCAGGAAAGAGCAGTAAAAATGCGGACTTCAGCCCACGTACAAAGCGAGAGCCTGACATCTAGCAGCGGAGCGTTTCAACCCTGCAGCACTTTTCCGACTCCGCCGTCTTCCCCGCGCCTCAGCAGTCTCTGGGCTGCAGGAAGTCACAAACTCTCTACCCAGGACAGGTCATCTATTTTAACAACCACTTCCCCTTGCTCTGTCCTATGCAAGCCGGGGCTGGGCGCTGTCTCACTCAATTCTCATCACAGCCCCCAGGACACCGAGTGCAGCCAGTGAAACTGAGGCAAGAAGTCAAAATCACCCCGGACCCTCAGGGGCGGGGCCTGGGTTTAAACCCTGCTCTCGCCCCCGCCCCCAGTTAGGAGCCTCAGGGACCAAAGCCTCGGAAGCAGGCGTCGAATTCCCGGGGACTCCTCCAGCGGCCCGGGAGGGACACGGACGTCGCCTCGGCCTCCGGACGGGCAGGAACACGCCGCGGCTCGGGCGGCAATGCCATCGGTACGCCGGGCGCCTAGGACGGGGGAGACCAACACTCACCCGGCCGCCCGCCGCCTCAGGCTCCTCGGTCAAATCTGCCGTCTCGGCCCGGGCCCTGCCCGCCAGATCCACTCGCTCCCGGTCTGCGCTCACTGCACCGAGCAGCAACCGGGCGGCGAAGCGCGGGCGAAATCTACGATTTTCAAAACTCAGGGCTCAGCCAATTCTCTGCAAGTTTGTGTGGGCGGTTGCAAACCCTGGGGCCAATCAGATGGTGGGAAGCACGATACTGACCATTCATTGGTATCTCACCCCATCAATCTGTGGGACTAAGAGGCGGAGAAAGGAAGCGTAGACATTTTAACCCTCCTCGGCTTCCGGAAGTGCACGGGTGGTTCGATGATGGCAGTCTCGCCTGCCCGAGGGAGAGGAAATCACAGGCCGCGCAGGCGCGTGATTGCGGGAACTACAAGTCCCAGCATGCCCTGCGCGAGTAGCGGGCCTGGCTGCGGCGCAGCTGGAGCTACCTGGGCAAAGGCCAGCAGGGTGGCTGGACCATCGCTGTGTCTGTGTGACCGCGTGAGCTGCCCGCGATGTCCGCAGGACCTAGCCTCTCCCCGAGTGGACACTACGCCTTCCCCTGTGCCAGCAGGACGCCCAGGGTCCCTTTGAAGCACAGGCTTTTTCCTGATGTCCTTGAACACCGGGCATGAGTCATTCTGCTTAAACCTGCAACCTCCTACCCAGCTTTAACTAATGCCCTGGTTAAATATCACAGCGAGCCATAACGGCACAGGAAGAAAACTGCGAACTGCGGCTGGCAAGCATGATACGGGCTCCCGCAGGCGTGGGTTGCTGACCACTGCTTAGAAATGTATACAGGCAGGCTTTGAGCTCACTAAGTAGCCCAGACTGCCTCCAACTCAGTGGCGATCCTCCTGTCTTTTAGAACTGGGATTACAGGTGTGCACCACCACCTTGTTTTCAATACATTTTTTTTTTTTTCTTTTAGGAACTGGGAATCAAACTCAGGACCTTTGGCTTGCCAGGAGGGCACTGTGCCGCTGGACTATATCCCCGGTGCTTTAAATTCTTTTTTGTTTTTTTTAGACAGAATCTCACTGTGCTGTTTAGGCTGGCCTTGGGCTTACTTTGTAGCCCAGGGTGGTCTCAAATTTGCAAGAATCCTCCTGCCTCATCTCCCCCCCCCCCCGCCCCTCGAGTGTTTGGATTATGGGCATGTGTCACCATGGCCCCAGTAACATTATTTAAAAAGAAAGAAGGAAAGGGCTGGGGGTTTAGCTCAGCGGCATAAGCGCCTGCCTTGAAAGCAGGCAGTCGTGAGTTCCATCTCCAGTACCGATAAAAAGGAAAAAGACCAAAAAAAAAAGAGAGAGAGAAAGAAAAAAATGATTCAGAATTTCAAAACACAGTAAAACTAGATTAACATTGGTTAGTATATTGTGCATTTTTATTTTGAAAATAGTTGGTAAGATTACAAGATACAGACATGAAAAATCTGGCCAAACAATCGAACAATGAAACCACATTATTTTTATCATGCATTTGCTTTAAGCTGCTTGTTGGTTGCAAGAGGAGACTTCTCCTTTGTCCGCAAGGGACACCCTCTTCCCCATGCACTTCAGGTGCATGGCCTAATGTGTTTCTGAGAGGCTAGATGTGCAAAGAGCAGGCCCTGGGCAAAAGCAGAACCTGGGATTGTAACCTCCGCAGACCTTTTCAGGATGCCAAACACCTTCTTGACAGCACTCAGCTCCAAGTGGCAGGACCTGGTCAGGAATCACACACAGGGCCCTTCTAGTCACCAGCTGGTCTTCCCCCACCAGCACCTCTTGTGAGCAGGAAGCTGAGCAGTTGCTTTCCCCATGTGCTCTCTACCTCTGGGTTTGAGCCTCAGGAAGCAGGTGGCAGCCAATCCTTCTGCAATAGCAAGCTCATCTAATTTCAGTAGGGTGGGCTTGCAATGATCCTCCTGGCTCAGCTTCCCAAATGCTAGGTTTATAGGAGTGTGCCACTATGCACGGCAATATGATTTTTAATGTACAAAAACATTGGAAATGGGTCTTGGTGATCTGAAAGGCCCTCCACAAAAAAATATGCATCCATATTAATTAATGGTACACTAATTCTCCACTTATTGCTAGAAAGAAACGGTTCAGCATGACGTTTATTCTCATTTTTCTTTGGTTTTTGGCCTCCACTTCAGAGGTGCTCTGTTGGAAGCCCATTTCTTGTTTTTAAAGCATGCAAACACTGGGTTAACTTATGTAAATTAGCATTTGACAGGCATAGTGATATAAGCCTGTGGTCCCAGTGCTCAAGAAGATGAGGCAGGAGAATTACCACGAGTTCAATGCCTACCTGGACTACATAGTGAGTTTAAGGCCAGCCTGTACTACATAGGGAGACCTTGTCTCAAAAAACTTTAAATAAATAGATATGCACATTTGGGGATGGCATGATCATTCGACCTTTTAAACTCCTCCTGAGATAGAAGCTGAAAATTCCATGGTGATAGGTGAATCAAAATTGTTTTTAATAAGCAGCCAGCTGATGATGGCACCAGACAGCCAGCCCTCTCAGCCCTTCAAGCCCTTGATGTAAGAATTGTGTGCCAGTTCTTCAAGCGCTTAATGTAAGAATTCTGGCCATCAGAGGTCTGGGTTGAGTCTGCTGGAAAGTGGTACAGATTGAGCTTGGTTTCTAGCAGAGTCTGACCTGTTTGATACACACAGAACTGCCCCTGAGACTCCAGAGCTGAGGACTGTGATGCTTATCACAATTGTTTTAGCAATTACTTTGGACTTGCCATGTTTTCCTTGTTCTTTGCAGACAGTCAGTGGGTTCCCTGAGGGGCTTAATCCTGGAAGAAATCCAGGATATGTCCATAAATTTACAGAATACAAGTTCCAATGTAAATGAGATCCCAGCTCAAGGCAAATCCTTTCCTGAAATGATCCAAGAGAGAGAGAGAGAGAGAGAGAGAGAGAGAGAGAGAATCCTGAGAAGCTGTGCAGCCATGGGTTAACCTTTTGGTAAACTGCTTTGGAGGGTGATGTCACTGGGCTCCCTGAGGAGATGAATGCTTTGACTCTGGTCAGGTACCAGTTTAGCTGTGAGGTCACTGTCAGTGAGAAACAGAGGACTTTGAAAGGCCCCCTTGATGGCTGTTCATTTCCTTTTAATCATTGCTTTTGCTTCTGCAGCTCTGCTTTGTGCTGAGTTGCAATGAAGACTTGCCCCAGTAGAAGAGAAACAATATAAAAGTGGAATCAGGGCTTTGTTCTGGGCTCTTGGGTGAACACTGCCCTCCAAGGGACTGCCCTCCAAGGTCTGCTTTGGCCTCCTATCCCAGGGCTTGAGGCTTCCAGAGCAGACCCAGGTCTCCTACCTCTATGGGCAGGTGGGTGAGGGCAGCCAATGATTAGCCACATAGCCTACACCAAGGTCTTTGTTTCATGATTTACCTGTCACTTGCAGAGTATGTCACATTGGATCCCTTTTGTCCCTACACCACTGATATCTAAGTGCCTGCTTAACAGCAACACTGTCAGCTTTAGGAAGATCCATGTAGATGGTGTCTTCCGGGAGAACATGGTGGACAGATAACAGCAACTACCGGAGGCTCTCTGAAAGGCTCGGCTCAGAAGTCAGGAATGATGCGGACTAAGGAGACATGAGCCGGTAGAGATATGCTCTGCTGACCCAGGAACGAACTGGGCTGAGAGAAACCAACTTGGAATGCAGTCCTGGCGCTAAAATAGAAACAGAAAAGTCTCGGTGTGGAGGCTGGACCCCGCGCCATTGGAAACTGCGATTTGGGTTTCCCGCCGCTCGGCGGCTGGCTGCCTCCACAGCGGCTCAGCAAGGAGAGAGATGCGCAGAAGCTCTGAGAACTGGAATCGGCGAACTGAGTCGAAAACAGGACGGACAAGGAGGCGTACACTGCCTTGTGGCGAGGTGAGTGAGAGAAACTGACACTCTACCACAGTGTGACTCCAGCAGAGGACTTTCTGGGCTCGGGCAGTCCTGTAAGAGCAGGGCGCGGTGGCGACTCCAGCCACACATTCCCCTCTCGGACGGGATTGGTGAAAAGTGCCTGGCCTGCGTGACGCTGCGGGTGGACTTGGTAGGCTGTCCCAACCCAGATCCCAGAGCCTGACGGTGGCCCGGAGGGGCGACTGACTCCCAAGTAGGCTGCCTAGTCTGTAACTCCCTGGTGCGCAGCAGTGGGCGGGAACACCTAGCCAGCACAATTTGATCAGGCTGTGGCTGACAGGCAGGGAAGCTGGGCCTCCTATGTAAGCTTGCATTTTATAAGGAACAGAAAATATGGGGAAGGGAAGCAACAAGAAAGGCTCCTCGGCCCCCAATTCTGAGAAACAGGCAATAGCAGACACCGCACCAATAGACATTAAGCGCCATCTAGAGAGCCTCATAGACCAATTCAGGAATGAAGTTATCAACAACCTGAAGCTAGAAGTATGCAGAATAGTTAGAGAAATGCTAAGCACCACCCAGGAAAAAACAGATGGTGGAATGGAAGAACAGAAAAAGAGGGGAGAATTGTTTGATGGAGAAAACAGAGAAAGCATAGAGTACGTGAAGCAGGTTCAAAGGGACTATCAAGAAATTAAGAAGTCTACCCAAGACTGGCATAACAGCTTGAAAGAAACTAAGGACAGACTATCTGAACTGGAGGGCAGACTTGTAATATGGGAGAATGAAATGAAAAACTTCTTAAAAATAACAAAGAAACAAACAGCAATAATACAAAGACAAGAAGATGATAAGAGGAGCCATAACTTAAGGATTAAGAACATAAAAGAAGAAGTAGGGACACAAACAAATGAACTACAAAGTCTACTCACAGAAATAATCCAGGAGAATTTTCCTAATTTAGCAAAAGGTAAAGATACTCAGATGTATGAGGCATACAGGACCCCAGCTACCTACAACCCTAACAGAGAAACACCCAGGCATATAATAATAAAAATTCCAGAAATTCAATACAAGAACAGAATATTAAAAGCTGTAAGAGACAAGAAACAGACCACTTACAAGGGAACACCCATTAGAATTACAGCAGATTTCTCTGCACAAACCATCAAATCACGAAGAGCATGGGGGGAAATAATTCAAGCTTTGAAAGATAATAATCTCCAGCCAAGATTGAGATATCCTGCACAACTGTCCCTGGAAATTGATGGAAAAACAA